GCCTGCTTCTGCATCATCACCTTCTGTTTCATCTCCTGTTTTACCAGTAATATTAGAAGTATGTCCATGCTGTTCCTTCAATACAGTCAATGTTTCAATTTCTTTTTGTAATTCTTTCTTAGCATCGTTTAATACTGACGTAGAATCACTATGGAATATGTATCCAGAGTCACCATAGGGATTAGCTGCATTAACCTGTGTAAATTAAAATACTATTAGGGAATCAGTTGTTATGTTGATCAATAATATATACATGCCATTATACCTGTATTTGTCGTTTCTTTAATTGTTGATACATAGCTTCTGCTTCTAAAAGGCGGGCTCTTAACTCTTCTATTTCTTGCAAGTATCCTTGTATTAAGCTAGTCACTTCTGGATTTTCATTAGTTGATGATATCCACTGACCAGCAGCTTTTTCTGCCTGCAGAAGAACATTTTTCGCTGTCAATGCTTCAACTGTCTCTGAAAGGGCTTTCACTCTGGTACGAAGGCTTTGCAATTCACTATTTAACATTTGATTTTCATGCCAAGCATCATTTATACCATCTTCACCAACAACTCTTTTGCCTAAAAAGAAATAAATAATAAATAAGTTTTATAAATAAGTTTTATAAATAAGTTTTATATACATATTATAAAAACCTATATTATATATCTTATATCTTATACATTTACCTTGTCTATATTCCATTAATTCTAATTGAAGCTGCTGTATTTCTCTTCTAAGTGAAGCAATTGTTCTTGAACTCTTATCCTGATTAATTGTAACTTTGTTCTTTATATTTCTTGCTCTGTTTGCATATTTCAAAGTACTTAAAGTTTCCATAAAATCTCTATCACTTGGTGACACACAGGCTATCATAACAGTTTGACTATTACCTACGATTATTATACATAAATGTTTAAATCATTAATGGATTAATACAATAAAAATAAAATAAAATATAGTTTATATGCATTCAATATTTTATTACCTCCTAGTGAATCTTGAAGCAGCCTTGTTAGCTTTGAATCTCTGTATGGTACATGTAAAGCTCTTTTTGTTTTATCACCAAGTGCAGAAATTACATTACCTAGAGCCAACTATAATGTATAAAGTAATTAATGATATTGGTGATTATAATACTGTATAATTCTCTTAAAGAATTATCAGCACATTACCAATCCGCAATTTATAGAAATCCCCTCTTTTGCTCTATCTCCTGTAGCACCAGTTCTTTTCAGCCTTTCTGATCCAGCTAAATCTACGAAATGAAATTTTGCAGTCAAAGTTTCAAATTCACTAGCAGGTTCAGAGCCACTTGTATCAACATCAGCATCTGGATCTTCGACTTTTATGTATCTCTGCTGCTTTATGTATAAAGTAAAAATTGCGTGTGATCTTGATGACTGAGTATTCATTTGGGTAGATCCGGTTGTACGTGACAATGCTCCCAATCTTAAATATTCTAATGCTTCCTCTGGACTAATAACAATTCGTGGTTCTACTCCAGCTAAATGAATATTGCCCGAGGGATCTTCATGAATACGAGCACCACCTCTAGGACCACCAGGTCCTAGTAAATCTTTCAAATCCTCATTATACAATTCCAAAAATTGTGCTGTAATCTATTGTAACATATAAAGAAAATAATTTATATAGGAAAAATATTCCATTTTATGAGATATTAAATTTCACTTTCAATCTCATCGAAGTGAATATCGATTTAGAAACTGTACATAAAACTATTTTTTTGCCAACCTTAAATTCAGGAGGCATTTGTGCACGTTCTCTAGCATGCTGTTGTTTCTCAACAATACCATTGAATAAATGTCTAATAGCTCTTGGAATAATTCCAACCACAGTTTCATCTACTTCCACATCAAATCCAGTACCCATAGTATACGTTTTGCCAGAGCCAGTTTGGCCATATGCAAGAACAGTCGCATTATATCCATCTAATGCACCTTCTACCAAACGTGCAACACATGTTTCATAAATTGTGCTTTGTCCAATACCAGTATCAAACACATAATCATATGTAAAGGCCTTGTCTGGTCCAAGAAAGACTTGGGGTTCTCCCGGAGGTACTTGAGTACAAATTCTACACATGTCAATTACTTCACGTGCTACTTGAGGCCTTATTCTGCAATTAATAACAATAAATTATAAATTAACAATATTCCTTAATAAAAAAAAATATTTAAAAAATATATAAAAAAGAAAAAGTATAAAAATATAATGTTCATTTTTTGTACATAAATTATTTTTATTCGTGTATAATTTACTAAGTCAAAGTTACATTTAAAACGTAATTGACATCATTCATATATAATCTACTAAGTTAAAGTTACATTTAAAATATAATTGACACGCGTCAGCTGTTATCTCAAAAATCCCGCGCGATGGATAGGAAGGGATAGTGTACATAATAAAATGAAACATACAATTAAAAAAAAAAAGAATGACTTCGAAACGTTCAAATAAGGAAAGCTAAATGGATAAAAGTAGGAATGATTAATAAAAACAAATGGAAGTTGAACGAAAGGGATGTAGTGGGGAAAAGTAAAATTCATTCATAAAAAATCGAGATGTACATTCATTATACAACCGGTAATGAAGCCTACGCATCCGATTCTTTAAAAGGAGATATTATGCGATTAAAACACGTAGTGCACCACTGCGTAAAAAACAATGCTGACATCATTTTAATTACGATAGTAAATAGTTTCGTCAGTAACAGGTAGATATGAAAATATTATTTTTACCTATTATATTATTATATTATATATTATAATAATATAATATGTGAATAAATAGATAATAATATATAATAATATTTCCATACGAAACGGGGGAAAAAATATTATTTTTTACGTATGTACACGTTTTTTTTCTAATAGAGTATAGTTTCTTAAAGATTAAAGAGCTATGTGTACTCAAATATAACTGTCGTCTATGTCGACAATTGATTTGTGTAACTGTTTTATTAAGAACATTCGGAGAAATCTGCAACCACTTCGAAACGGTCTAAATAATGAAATTTTCTAAAATCATGAAAGTGTAAAAACAATCAACGTATCTCGCAATTTTAATTATCGTTAAATGATAAAATTCCAATTGAAAGAAACAATCTATCTGCGTGATGGATAGATTATTCACAGTGGGGAAGAAACGTATGTACATATTTGCAATGACAGTACACGTAAATCGCGTGAATGTTGTTAAAGCGACAGCAGACATAAAACGAAATTTTAAATTCAAATAACACTTCCCGCGAATTTTAAAGTTATTAATTAACTAAATCGCGACAACGTCGTGAACTGTCACAACGCGTATGTCTCTCCTTGTTAGTTCGCGTCAATGTAGACGCTGCACGATAGATCGGTCTCTTAAAAAAAAAAAACATTCCGATGAATTAGCCCGTTTTGATGGGAACTTGAACTTACCGTACGGCAACGCGTACACTCGTATCGTCGGACATCGTCAATCCTTTAGTATTGTACGGCTCTGTAGGATGCGAAAGCAGAGAAAACAAAACTTTACCGAAGAAATCAACGAGAAATTGGTGAGATTAGGCCGAAACTATTAGGCGATATGGGGGGCTATGATTTTTCAATACGCAAATATACTGAATGCGCACGCGTTACTAGATGCGGCGACCGTGGAAATTCCGCATTTTTCGTTGTGGACGCGCGCACAGACGATCGTGAATTCCAATTAAACATTTCTCATAACTGAGGGGAAAAAAATCTGTACGCCAGTCGCGTCAGCCCGTGGACTATACGGATCTCGAACTGAAATCATACGTGACAGACATTTTTGATTCTTTACGGCATAAACGCGCGACGCCATCTCATCGGCAGCTGTAGAAACTATTGGCAATCCTCTTGTCCTTGAAAGATTATCAACGATTTTCTATTTTTGCGATGCCGTCTCACAGTGCTCGACTCGATACAGAAAAAGTCAATAATGGAATCACAGACGAGGTATACGAGGTATGAAGGGTAGACCAGACATCCCCACCATATAAATTTTTAAATTAGTAAAAAAAGTAAAAACTATGTTTATGGGAAAGATCCTTGACGACATAAAAGTCAAATTAATCAATGCCAGTGTCTAACTAATTATTTATCAGAAGAATAACTAAGAATAATTAAATAATTGAATGTATAATGTTATGAAATAATTTGGAATTTAAAAAAGAAGCGATATAATTAATGTAGTTGATAAAGTAGTAATTGGACTGGGTCGCTAAAAATAGCATCTACATTATCTACCTGTTACTCAGCAGAATGAAGTACTGCCATCTATTGAGACAAATCGTTTCTTTGTAATTTCTTTATCTGATAGATGGCAGCGTTTCATTTTTCAGTTGAAACCAAAAGAACCAAAACATCCTTCAGTACATGGTAGCACCACTACTCGTCTGTGGTAGCACTTTCGCAGAGGAAATTACATCATTAATTTAATTCCATTAAACCGTTTCACCGCTATGTAGCGCTAGTGATTGAACAAATTTTTATTTGCAGAAAAAAAAGACTAATCAAAACAAAATTTTGTAAACTTTCTTAATTGCGTTCTACAAATTTGACTCAGCTTTCTTGCTATGTTCTATTTAATGTACGAAATGTATATATAAAAATTTACAAATTTTATATATTAGATTGAAACACATGCTTAGGAAATCTACATACGTACATGATTTCTGAAGGAAAGATATGACGTCAGATATATACATATATTTTGTATCTGAAATTATTCAAACTTTCATAAAATCCATATGCATATGAAATACCTTTTTTCTGCAGTTACAATAAAAATTTCCTATAGTCTTTGAGACGTCATTTAAACGTCACGCTACATGCATGAAAGATAATATACTATTTGGTGATGTAATCATCAGGGTCAAATCACAATAGGATATCATATAACGTAATTTAGTTACATGTACGCAAAATTAGTAGTATGTTCCATTTGTATCATTACGATTTTATTTCAATGTTATTAAAAAAATTACTATTTTCTTTTTCAATAAAAAAATTGATAAATAAACTATTGAATGGTATCGGATGCTAAACTGAATAGGTTGTTACTAACATACAATTATCGCGGAGAAGTACATATATGTGAAAAAGTTAGTAGAACTTTGTGGTGCTAATCCGTTCTTGGGTAATCAGCAATATTCTGGTGTCGTCTTTTTTTAAAATTAGGATTTTTCATATATTTTTTTCTTTGTTTAATCGACAGTTGTGGTTTACTTTTTTTTTTAGCCGTGTATCAGCTTCGCTCAGACGCTTAAATAACGATAAACGTAACGTGAACGATGGATCATCAGATATTTAAAATATACAATCAGGAAGACTTTAACAGAATTACAAGAGGAATTAAAGTGGCACAATGTATGCAATCGCGATCGTCATCTGGTAATTATATTACGAATATTATTTTTTACTTAAACGTTAAATTGATCGGAATTACGTTTGTACATGAACGCTTACTATTAGAATTATTATTTATTTATATATTTGAGAACTGAAGATATTTATTAAATTATTCTAACCATTTCATTTGTCTTAATTACGAGTTGAATGATGTTTAAGAATTTACAAATTACTGAAATCACATGTTTTTGAGGTTAGGGTACTAATTAATTTTAGGAATTCGAAAATTATAAATGATGATATGGTATACAAATTTATGAGGACTATTTTTATATTAGTTTCAGAAAGTGAAAGAATGCTAGGTCAACTTGATGATTTAGTTGTATCTGATTCCTTAAGTTGTTCATTTTGCAACACTGTATTCGAAAATAAGACGCAGCAAAGACTTCACTATAAATTAGATTGGCATCGGTACAATTTAAAACAGCGTTTAAATGGATTGAAACCTATTAATGAAGATAAATTTAGTCTTTTAGCTGATGAAGGTATAAGAAGTTACTACTGAATCATTTTTGCACAATTCTGACATTTAATATGAAAAACGCATTAATACGTTAACATATTGTAGGCAATGTTTCAAGCTTATCTGGAAGTGATGTAGATTCCGAAAATGAAGATGAGACCTCGGAAGCAGGGAGTGGACATTGTGAAACTAAAACCTTGATTAAAAACAAGAAAATTGAAAAAAAAGGGAAAAATATAGAATCAGTTTCTGATAGTTCTGACACAGAATATTCTGATGATATCATCAAAGAGAAGAAAGTTGAGGCTTTATTGGTTACTGCTAGTCGTCATTCAAAAGTCTTTTTTGAAAATGATGATGGAAATATATTTAGTATATACAGGTGTTTACTTCACAACAAGAAGGTCTGTTTATTTATAATACTCGAAGGATATGGTTTTATGATTTCTCTCTAAGTGTAGACATGCTTGTCTATTATATTATTTTGTAATTTGATCTACTTTGTTAGAATCATTTGGCATGTCTATACTTGCCAGATCAGGAGAGATGCAATTACATTTTAGGATATTCCAGAGGTAGACAATGATATGATCACTCAGGCATTGAACCGTGGAAAAGAAACAACATGGACTGTCATCATGATTGGCGGAGGACATTTTGCTGCAGCTGTGTTTCAAAGTATTTGTTTTAACGTATAAATAGATGTTTTGAGTGCTGAAATTATAAATAAGTATTTTTTTTTTTGTTTCAGATGGGGAACCTATCGTGCACAAAACATTTCATTCTTATACCGTACGTGCAAAACAAGGTTTTGCTCAAAGTTCACGTACAGCAACTAATCATGCAAAGAGTGCTGGAGCTAGTTTGCGTCGTTATAACGAAGCATCGCTTCTTCAGGTATTTAGTTTATAAATTTAAATAGAAACTATTTTTATGACGTTCATTAATTATGTTCATTTTCAGCATGTGCAAGATATACTTGAATCATGGTCATCTCATATCAATAATTCCTCTTTAATTTTATATAGAGCGGTTGGTCCGTATAATCGTACTGTGTTATTTGGAGGCAAAAATCCACCTTTAGATAAGAATGACTTAAGATTAAGACCGCTACCTTTCCCTACTCGTAGAGCAACATTTAGCGAAGTTAAAAGAGTGTATGATGTTTTAAGTTCCATGGAAATTTATGGTACGATTTTTGATAATATTGTATTTTAAATATTTAAGCGTACTAATTTTATATATTAATGATATATGTTGTAGGTTCTGCATCTGATTTTACAGACTCTTTCCCTATTTCACCACGTCAACCTCTTAGGAAAAAAGTTTCAAAAACTGATGGATCTGGCGAAATCTTAGTTGAAAATGTAGAATGTAATGCTATCAATAGCACGTGTAATTTACAAGATAGCGATAAGAATAAAGTTTCTGTTCAACCATCTCCCGAAAGACAACATAAAAATTCTCGGTCCCACATAGATAGAGCAAAACCAAGAAAAAGTCCATGTCGTCCTTTACCCGGTAAATGAAAATATTTTGAATATAAGATACAATTAAGTGTGTATCTTCATTTGATTTTGTGTTTCAGACATTGTTGCCAGGTTAGCACAATCATCTTCAGAATCAGAATTGGATAGTCAAATAAGCACTCCTAATATTCCAATGGATGTTTCATTAATTGAACAGGAATTAGAAATAGAATTTAATGAAAATTTACTCGCTTTTCAAGATACTGTGCCAAGATACATGAAGAATAAAAAAATTCGTCGTCAAAGAAAGAAGACTAAGAAAGATGGTAAATACTTGTATATTATGTAATTTTTAATAATTATTATATTTTGTTACAAAAATTGCTTTTCCAGAATGCGTATTAAACGAAACGTTAACCAATGCTAAAGTTAAACTATGGTCTGCATGTAAATTAGGTGACGATGAATTATTGTCATCTGTTATTAATGATTTGTTGATTGAAGTAAAAAAGAGTGTAGAATTAGAAAATAAATTAGAAAATGAGGAAGATGTGACTGTAAGTTGTAATACAGTTATAAACAAAGATGATGTGACGAAGTTGGTAAATGATCCTAATGAAGATGGTAATACAATGTTACATGTAGCAGCGTTGGGTGGACACCTAAAATTAGTATGGTATGTTGACATCAATGTAACTATTCTTTTATCTGACAGAATTTTTATAAAATTTTTCGGTTTTAGGCAATTAATGGAAATTGGATCAGATCCTTGTAATAAAAATAAGAAGCTACAAACACCATACGCTGCGGCAAATGATAAGGAAACCAGGAATATTTTCAGAAGATTTATGGGTGCTAATCCTGACAAATTCAATTATAACAAAGTATTTAGTTTACTTATAATTTTCTATTTTTCGTTTACTAAAATAATATTACGTATATAATAATATGTATCTGTTACAAAGTCTCAAATACCTGGCCCGCTTACTGACGAAATAGAACAAGAAGAATTAGAAAAAAAGAAACAACAAAGAAAAGTAAAACGGGAAAAGGATAGAGTGAAGAGAAAAGAATTTGAACTGAAAAAGCGAGAAGAAGATGCAAAGCAAAGATACCTAAATCTCAGCGACAGGGAAAAGGTACGTACGTCTAAGAATAATTGCATTGCTATTTGGTATTAATAAATCCTAAACTCGTCCTAATAAATATTAATAAATTTGTAGAGAGCTTTGGCTGCAGAACAACGTATTCTAGAACAAGGCTGCATTATAATTTCACGATGTTTTCAATGTGGTGTAGATATGGCAGGTCAGGTTCCTTTTGAGTATAATTCCAATCGTTTCTGTTCTATGCCGTGTTTAAAGGAACATCGCCTTCGCAACAAAGTTGTGATCTGATGACATTTTATGTTCAAAACTATAAATTGCTTATGTTTTCATGACGTAGCCTTAATTTTTGGTCAGATGTAGATTATGATAATATATTTATCACGAAGCTAGATTTAAATGTATAATTTTTTCATTAATGAAGTGAGTATTCAATTATTATAATATAATGATTAAAATTTTGACATTCAAGATAATATGGATATATAAATTTAAGATACTTTACGTTACCTACAATACCTGTGATGCATATTTATTTGTGTCAATTGGGTAAAATTTCTTGCATGTATTTTTCAAGTTTTGGGAAGAAACTATAAAATGTGGCTTGATGTATGTACATACAGGAATTTTTATAATACATACATTTTGGCAGAAATATGCTGAAGTATTTCAGAATTTCTTTCATTCATTTTTTCTTTTTTTTTTTTTGAAAATATTAACTTTGTGAAAGATAAGGCTGCACCCATATTTGTTACAAATTAAATACATTTTATATACTTTTCACTTTGGTGGTTACATCTTCAGTATAACATCTTTAATCATAATATTAAATGACATACATAAAGAACTAACACTTTTATGTTCACGATAAACAATAACTAAGTTGCACACTCATGACCGCAATATTACATTCACGCCGAGTTTACGATATTATAACATTACATCGATTACGTTTTACTGTTATAATATCATAACATTGTAATATATATCAATATATATGTAACGTTCATGCGAAAAACGAGCCTTTTGTGTTATTTTTATAAGGTTTAAATTTCGTTAACAGGAATTTGAGACGGTATTCACACGTGAATCTCATTGATGACTAGTATAGAAAAAAAAAATATATATATATATATAAATTTTCCAACACCCATACTAAAATCATGGGAATTTAATGTCGGTGGTTTATTGACGAGAAAATGTACATTTCGTACGGTTTATGGTATCTGAGGTGTTAATAGTAGCTAGAACATGTTTTCATTGACCTTTCATTCACAGCAGTAAGCGTTACAAACGTTTTATATTTCAAACACGAATAACAATAAAAATAAAATGGAGACTGATGTCTGGAATTTCTCTAAAATTTGCTGATTATACATTTTGCGATAAGCACAACTGAATACAATTCGAGTATTTACAAATTATCTTAATTCGATTCGGATAAAAGCAACGCTCTTCGAATGAAAATAATACATTGAGATCCAAAAGATATCATCGTTATAAATATAAATTTTTTTTTTTCTTTCTTTTGGTTGTAATTGTCAGTTCATGGTGTACACGAAAAAAAAAATACTTGAGATCGTACATGTCAGTTTTCGTTATTTCGTTCTCAAGGGTATGTGTGCTTTAGGCTAATCAAACTGTTACCTGTTGCAAATGGTCTTCGATTGGTAACCGGTGGAAAATATTAATTTTCATAGAATTCGTAGCGTTTGAATGGTTTAAGTACAGAATATGAATTTATTTCTCAATCTCTCAAATTTATAAATATCATTATAGATCCAGTTGGACAAATTTTTGTTCTTGCATTATTTGATCGTTAGTTATCGTTAGTATCGTTAGCTCAATTTAAATGGACGTAGAGTCGTCGGAATCCGTATCGTCGCATTCATCGTCATACAGTCCGTGATTGTTCTCGTGGATCCAGCTGTCCTCTATCTTCACCTCGTACCTGTTCTCTTGAGTTTTGTTCGAGGATACGATTCTCACGTACGTGTTTTTCATGTTCTTCAACTCGTACTGTATGCCGGTGTTCCTTAGCATCGGACTCCTTTCACCGCTGCTCACCGACTTCGAACGAACTTTGTCTGTAATTTTCTCGCCTTCCACCGATTCCAAAGAGCTTTTCCTCCGACTGTTTCTTCTGTTAGATTTCTCTTTGTTGCTCGTCGTCTTTCTTCCTATCTTCGGGCTTTCGCCCTCCAAATACTTTCGAATCCACTTCGGTGTCTCGCTCGAGTACGACGATTTCTTCACGTACTTCGGATTGGCCGTTATCATTGGCACGTCGGTTTCGATCACCGTGGTGATCACCTGTTCGTTTTCATCGAAATTACTCTCTAAGTATTTCTTCTTCGGTATCGCGGACATGCTTATCTTTCCAAGTATCGAGGAACCGTCGTCCGTTTCGTACGTGTACGAGTAATGTTTCTGAATGTGTTTGGGCTCGTCGGCAATGTCGGCGATTGTCTCCGAATTCGACATCTCGTTCCTTCGATTCTCATCTTTCTCGTCCTTCCAAAATCTTTCCAGAGCCTCCTCGAACAAATGCTTCGGCGACTTTCTGCCAAAGTCGAGGGGTTTGATCGGGGAGATTATGCTCTGTCTCAGATTGCCCGTAATGCTGTGTCTTTGCCTCGCTGGTGGATCGAGCAATCGACGGAGACTCGAATTTCTTATCTCGGGCACCGACATCCTTTCCCTGGTAGGAATCGGCGAGACCGATCTATGAAGCTTGTTTGCTCTAAGCGTTGTCCTTTGACTCTTCTGCTGTATCGAACTGACCGCCGTCGCTATTTTGTTCAATTCGGTTGACAGTAGTTGCCTTTCATTCGGTGGTAGAATTGGAGTTGTACTTGCCACGAGTACACTTCCAAGGCCTTCTCTGGTGGGACTCTTAAGTTTACCGGCAGGGATCGTTGTTTGCTCCTCGATCTTCGGCTGTTGGTGTTCACTGATGGGTGAACTGGCTATCGGCAATAGCCTGGACCGAGTGACATCCTGGTTACGTGTCAGTTGACTGTCCAAACTGAATCGTTGCTTCGGCGTGCCAGCTATCAGCTTAAGATCGTTCTGCGTCTCCAGTTCCGGTATTGAGAATCTATCACGATTGAACTTCGTCACAGCGGACTCTTTGAAATTTCTGTATTTAGCACCAATGTCCAGCTGCGACAGACGATCCCTCTGGCTGGCGTGTATGGCAGGGGAGAATCTCTTGTGCTTCACCGGCGGCGGGGAGGGAGAATGGAAAACCATCGTGGGCAAATTGAGATCTTTCCCCGTGCTTAGGCAAGGTTGGGATAATCTCTGCTGGCCACGACCAGGGTGGTAATCACCGATAACTAGAGTGGACTGGGAGAGTCGATCCCTCTTCGCCGATACGTCCTGGCGCATGATAAATCTCGTTACGTCCGGCTGTGACAATCTCGAGGTACCTTGATCCATCGTTAAACTTCCCCTCGAGCTTCCACCGCCGAAGCCTTGCACGCTTCGCGCTGACAGTCTCTCCTCCTCGTTGATGCTGTTGTCCCCAGAAGCCGCCCTGAGACTAGTGTAAGACAGTCTGGAGTTACGATTCATTCCGACGAAGTTGATACCGCTGAAGCTCGAGTTGAGCGTTGGCTGGGACATTCTTATACGCCGGTCGCCGGATCTTTTGTCGTGAGATATCAAGAGCGTGGGTAGATTCGGCTGGGAGTAACGACTTCGTTGACTCGCGGGAGAGTAACTCGGCGGGCAAGGTGTCGTTGACTGAGTTCCCTCGTACGTTCCCGCGGAGTCCTGCGACTCGATGCTCGACTGCGACTGAGGTGGTGGCCTCACGGGTGTAATGTGAAGATTCGGATGGGATAGTCGGTTCTTACGACCTTGAGTGGGCTTCTTCAAGTGGTCGATAAGGTTGGGTTGCGAAAGACGGATGTAAGGAGTTGGTGGTCGGTTCAGGTACCAGAGGTCCCGTCGGGAATACGGCTCGCATCAAAGGGTACCCTCCTCCCGTAAACGGCGTATGAAAACTGGTCGCACATCCTCGAAGAACGATGGCAGATCCAATTCGGCTGCGCGTGCGATTCCACCGTCTTTGCATTCCAGCCAGTAGGTGTCCATTAGTCCCTTTCCCTGTGAAAAATTCATTTCACTCGTACACGCGCAATTCACGTTCATTCGATTTACAGCGTGTTTTACCTTGACGTCCACCAAGCCACGATGCACGATTTTGAAACCACCTACGGCGTCCAGAGCCTTCTTCATTTCCAGGCTAATGTGTATTCGCAGCGCTTCGTGTGTAAATAAATGACAATTAGTATTAAGAAGACGCGACGAAAACTATGTGTTTAGATATGAAAGGAAAACACGGGACCAACCTTCTCCGGTTGATTCCATACGACTGGCTGTATTCACAGTGTCCCCAAAGAGACAATAACGAGGCATTTTGCTCCCCACGATTCCAGCAACTACGGGTCCCGTGTGGGCACCGCTTCGTATTTGAAGACGTTCACCGGGTCGTTTCGGTACTTGGAACACCGACGAGGCTGCCAGGAGATCGAGGGCCATTGTCGCTATTTCAGACACGTGTTTGTCTCCTTTGAAAAAGAAAAAAATAAATAAATAAATAAATAAATAAATTCCACTAAGTAAAATGAAGATGAGAAAGATCCAAGAAAGCTTTTACCGTTTCGAACGGGCAGGCCAGAGGCAACCATGTACGAATCGCCAATGGTTTCAACTTTGTACACATCGTAACATTCGATACGCGCGTCGAACAGTTTGTAGATGGAATTTAAAAAGGTGACAACCTTCCGGGAAAGATATAATAATAATAATAATGAAAAGATTTGCAAATAAATTGAGAGTAACTTTGTAGAAAAGGATTTTACCTCTAACGGAGTGTTCTCTGCAGCGATTTCTGTAAATCCAACGATGTCGCTGAAATACACGGTCACTGCTTCGTAATATTCTGCTGGAACCTGCGCGACAAAGTGGGCAAAGCTTGTTAGATATCAACAACGTGTCTTTGATACCTTTTTTTCAAACAGGCAATCGTCAATTACCTGTTGAGTTTGCTTCAGTTGTTGAGCAACGCTCGGCGGCAACATTTGAAAGAGCAACGTGTCGCTCTTCCCTTTCTCCTGCTTCAGTTCCCGTGCCTTTTGCGCCAAATTGGCCGCGTACATCTAAAATTTCCCGACGAAAAGACCCGTTTAGCTGACGCGCTACCGGGAAAAACGGTAATTTAACTTGGAACACGGAATTGTTTCATCACCAATTAGAATCGTTAGCGGCGCGATGGAATTAAGGAAAAAAAAAAAAAAAAAATGAGATGGAGCAGTTGGATGAAAGTCTTTAATTTCGTTATCTCTCGCCGCGCGCAGCAGCGAGGTAAAAGTATTATATGTACTGTAGTAATGAAATTCGATCGGAAGCAATGGAAGTGCACACGCCCAATTGAAATTGTCGATGCCGCGACCAATAAAATACGTTCTTTCTTGCTCATAAAGATGGAGCATTTCTCGAAAGACGTTAGATTCGCCAGACGAATAAATTGAATTTTAAATCTAATTACATCGCGATTATGAGAGGGAACAATCACTTACTTGTATCGTCGCAACCGCGTTACGTACTAATATTATAATGATGGGGGAAACGACCAACACCAGCACCACTATAGCTATCCCAGCAACTTCTTTGTTGCTCGCGTCTTGCAAAGTTGAATTCACATAATCCCTGTTTGTAACACAACTTGTCGTGTAAAAAGGTTGCATCACGCGGCATAATTAATTCGACCGAACGAATATACTCACCTAATCATGTGACGTAATTCTCGTTGAAGTTTACGCAGCTCGTCCACGTACGTTGCCATTGAATCGAAATAAGCGATAGCATCCTCTACGCTTGGTTCCCTCTTTTGGTTCTGGAGGATTTCATCTCGTCTGTAACGCACGTTTCCCAAACAAACCTATCTCCCTTGTTTCATGCATTCTACACGCCGATGTACCTCCAACTTTTCATCTCACTCATTCTATATATGTACGTAAGTTTACCCTTAGATTTCGAAAGTCGTTCTTTTTTTTCTTTTTTTTTTTTTTTTTTTTTTTTTTTTTTTTGTTTTTTTTTTTTTTTTTTTTTTACTTTTTTTTTTTTTTTTTTTTTTTTTTTTTTTTTTTTTTTTTTTTTTAGCTGTTTAAAATGTCTTTTCCCTTTTCGTTTCTTTTAAGTGGATTTTCTTAATGTGATCGTTGCGTACCTAGATTTAATTCTTCCATATTCCGGCATGGTGCGGGTGAGCTCTGCGTAAAAATGTTTGAGAGAAGGCACGTATGTGAGAGATCCAGAAAGAAGGTCACGTCCAAGAGCTTCGTGGCGAACATAGCTGACGTAATTGTCTCCCAGAAGGATCCCGCGTCCGAAGTAATTGATCCCGTACACGGAAGCAATGCCCAAGCTCTCGATGCTCCTCAGTAAATTTTTAAACGCTATCAGATACCTGAAAACGACGAGTTTACACCCTCACTCGCACGAATCTGAACGAAGTTTTTTCACTGTCAATCTCTCATCGCTGTCGTTCGAAAAAAAAAAAAGAGACTCTGGCTGTTACTCACGAAACATCGGTGGAGCTATTTGGTAACTCTCTTATCTTACTTTGTCTCTCTCTTTCTCAAACTGAGAAAAATTACTTAAACGAATTCCAAAGTTATCTAAAGTTCTCCAAAGTTCTTCGCGCCGGTATTGCTAAACGAATGTCCCAGCGAGAAAGAAATCCGCCCTTTACCTCCAAACTCCGCTATTATCCGTCTCTTTGATCTGATTAGTCAGATGGTCCAGCATCGCCGCGTTCACGCTCGTATACCAGGCCATCACCTCGGTAATGCTGCTCTCTTCCGAACTTATCTTCTGCCTGGGAAACGAACAAACTTTGTACTTAGACCCCGGTTAACTTCCGTTATTCGCAGGTCAGAGATTCGAAGGACAGCGACGCTTTCTTACACGCGTCTTAAAGAGCGAAACTTCGCTAAAGCTAAAGAGGGGGGTTGTACGCGATTTTTCCCGCGAATTTGTTCCATTTTTTTCCCCTCTAGAAGATTTCCTACTGTTTCCTTTCTCTCGATTCGTTGTTCCTTCATACAACAGAACGGAAACTCTGAACAGAGATTCTTATTATAAAGAGAGCGACGCGAGACGGTGGTCGAGATTGAATCGAGTCGATAGATAGGTATGTAGCGTATCGTATCGAGTTGCATATCGTTGTACATTGTACCCGTGGTAGTTATCGAGATAGTCAGAGAACATGATAGTCATAGAACGTTAAAGAGAAAGCAGAGGAGGGGTGGAAAGAGGGAGGGGCGGGCAGAGGGGTCTAAAAATATTGTCTACTGCTCCAAATGGGCGGTCACGCGCTCATGTGTGACAACCTCATCCATTGCTCATAAAGGTAGTTCGACAGAGAAGGCCGAGAAGCGACAGAGGGAAAATGACGTACGATTTCTTTGAGAGAATTTATTACAGCTCCGTACGTAATGTGTTATTCTCATTTATTGACATTTTCCATTTTTTTTTTTTTTTTTTTTTTTTAATGAGACGCGAATTCAAACCTTGAACCTCAAATATCTCGTTGCTTTAATGTAAATCGAACGCTGCTTTCACTTTCTAGCTTTCAAACGAATATAAATACGTTCTCCTCTCGTCTTCGACAAATTTTCGATGCACAAATTTGCGATATACGAAACGAATGTTACTAGAGCGTTAATTGGCTGAAACGAGAGACCAGCCACGGCGATAGAACGTATTGAAAATAATCAGCCACTCTAATTAATTCTGTCGGCAGAGAAACTCGACCGATCGATCCAAAGCCGGCCGAAAATTAATAGAGCATCGGGAATCGTACGGCGTTATCGCGTTGTTCGATGAAATCGAGTTAACACCGATCCTTTCCCTTCCCCGTTATCCCTGTGTCAGCCACCATAATACCATCGCAGGACGAAAGAAGAGGATTGTTAGCGGCTTGTTACCGGTGCTCCCGCTGACAGAAATGCGTTCTATTATCTGACATATGCTCGTATAATAGCCAACGCGAAAACCGCAGACCCTCCCGGCCGATCAATGGAGAATTTCCTGTACAAGAATGCCTAGAACCCCCAATAGCCTTGAACGCGGGAAGAAATCGAATTTCTCCGATTAATCGAACGGCGTATCTCGCCTTTCTTCTTTCCCCCTTTTAGAAAAATATATCCGAGAAGAGTTTTAAAATCGCAGATAAAAACGAAGGAGAGACGACTGCGAGTTTCACGCGCTTTTCGCGTAACGAACTAACGGAGAAATGGGCGTTGAATACGAACGATGTGTGTCTGCGATCCACGTGGATGGGAAATTTCCGCTACATTAACGCGTCATCCTACATAATTTATACGGGATACGTAGCGCCCTTAATTGGTATCGTTTGCCGAGTAAGATTACCAAAGTGTTATTACGGACGTTCCAACTATCTAATCCTTTCCTTAATCTTTTATTAATCGATACTTTCGTAAGACGAATACATGTATATTTTCACACAACATGTTCCTCTGTAACAAATCAATTTCGGCAACCACGGATTGGCAATTATTCATACCGATGCTTGGACTCTTGGCCTTTATCGATTTATTGGACACGTGTATACCTAGTAACGGAGGAGTCTCTCTCGTCGTTTTCGATTCGACAGAATGAAGAGCCTTCACCTTCCGCAAATATTTCTGTAGTACTACACGTTAATATCATAATCTTTCGTATATATATATATATATATCACTGGCATACATCTCTCGTATCTCGGCGAGCTTTAACGCAGATTCGTTGACATTCGACGAGAACAAAGGAAACGAAAGTTTGCGTTCGTTTCGTCGAGATGTAACCACGGTTCGTCTCGGACTCGGTCTTGGAAAAACCGGATCCTGGCTACGTATTTTTATAATCGATCGATATGCCAAGACAAATACGACACGACGATGCTATTATAAAAGCACACACCGTTCCACCATACCGTACCACACGGTATCTCCGTACTGCCGCGCCTTTTGGCCCTCCCCTTTTTAATCAGACACGACACTATTGTACCGTATCGTGCGCACACGTCTGCCGGATTTTTTTTTCGACACTCTAATTTCTCCGCGCCGCGAGACGAACACGATCGTTCGATGTGTTCGGCGTCGAAATTATTATCGAACGAAAATGAACATTCTCGTTCGATTCCCGCGAGAGGAAGACCCTTGTGTTTTATCGAGCAGCGAGAGGAGACACGCGAAAGTGGCGAGTCGTATCCACTTGCACCCGGTGCTGAATGGAAATTCAACAAGTGTCGGGAACGAAGGCCCCGCCAGGAGGGAACAGAGGATTCCATCGTAACTTTCCACGCAGCCGTTGTAACTCCTCCTGCAAACGCACGCTGGCCGATTCCTCCGTGCTTTGTCATTTGCACGTCGACTTTAAAAAAAACCTAATGTTCCTTTCCCTTCGGTTAATCGAATCGGGCCTTCCGCTTTAAATCTTTCCCAGAGGAGGGGGCGTTAATTTTAGCCGGCCGATTGCCGAAAGAGGTGTCGGAGCCAAGGATGGGGAAAATCGCACGCGTCGTGTCGTTCGATCGCGTTACGTCAAGAAAGTTATGGTAATTCAGGTAAAAAGCCGTTCGGGCACACGAGGGGATCCTCTGACGTCATTAGCGTGCTAACGTGGATTCCGTCTGGAGTGAAGAGGGAGGGATGGGGGAGTGGGTTTGCCGATCGATCTGCGTTACCTGAAATCCTCGAGCCGTGCTTGGAAGGCCTCTTTGCTGACCACGTCATAGGTTTGCGTTTTGCTCTCGTCCGTCGGTACCGAGACCAGGGGCCACGTAGTCATGTTGTGAAGAGCCTGATCGGTTATGGCGAATCTCTGCGTCAAGTTCGACCTTGAACAGACGAGCAAACGAGACGCGTCGCGTATTAAAAACTCATCGCGTCGATAACAAACTCGCAGGCGGTGAGGCCGAGTTCGAGCCCGATCGGTGGTTTGTTTGCCGCGCTGCGATAACTGGCGACATTACACTAGCCGAAGAAGGATTCTGGAAATTAATTATTTTTACCGGAGGAAATTTTCGCTAGCGTTTTTTTTAACAGAGTTTCTCCCTCCCCCCTTCTAGGTTTTTATCCGGAGGAACCGAAGCGGAAGGGGTCAGGTCAATATGCCACGTTTCACCGATCATGCGACTCTAATCGCCATCTCGAACCTTGAATTTACCAAGTGCCCGAATAACTCCTCCGTGATTCGAAGGCGAATTAAGACTTATGTAAAATCGTCCGGGATCGTTATAATCGTTACGAATCGTCCGCCGGTAAATTTCTATTTCGATCTACAGATTTAGGTCGAACCGAGGCTGTTCTCACATTCTTATCTCGAAACAGCGAGAAAAGCGCGGTAGCGGTGCCGTTGATTAGAGCCGTTGCCCATTTGTCTTCATTGGCCTGGTACGTTAAAGGGTTCCCTTTCTTTGGACGAATTGGCTTTCGCCACCGGAGTCACGTATACCGGAAAAAGGATCAAGCGATCCTCGAGGTGAAACGACTTTACTGTATTGCGTGCGAAGTTATCCGAACGCGTTCGTTTTGTACGAACGAAATTGTTTTTTTTTTTTTTTTTTTTTTTCTTAATTCGTAACACGGGTGAACGGTTTGAGGGAAAGCCTAACAACATGCTGCGTGATAATACCTCAGGGTATTGCCGTTGGTGTAAATAAAGAACGCAACCTCGGATCTTTCAAGCTGCATCCGCGTGACAACCTTCCCCAAGTCTGTGGCGATTGTTACCTGCAAGAAGTTCAGGACCGTAATCAATCACAATGCGAGAGAGTAAAAGAAAGAGCGAAAAGAAAAAAGAAATTAATAGAAAGAGAGTCGACGACGTAGCAACGTCGACACGATCAAACATAATTATTGTTTGAAATTTATTCTATCGTCGGACTGAATCGGGATAATACAAAACGCGTGAGGATCGAACCGCTTTGTCGGGTTCGTGGAACTTTCGAAAGGAGATGAAACTAAATATAAGGGTAGGACAAAGTGGACAGAATAGAGTAGGCGGAATACTTCCTAGATACACATTGTGTGGTCACTCGAACTCTTAAGTACCTATGGCCTTCCATCATACTTGCAACGCCTCTATGTTTACAGTGTTATACGAGTATTTCAATAATTATAGATCCGGCCATCGTGATAAAGCGATGGTGAAATATAGCCTTCATTTTGCACTTCACTCAGGGAAAATAACGATTATTGGAAACGGACGGACGTTGAAATTTTCGCGACTCATGCAACGTAATGGATAGTCGATAAGCATCTGGATAAAAATTAATTCAATCCCGCGTCTTTGATCATTTTCGGTTTTTGTAGCGTCTGACGATTATTATCAACGACGGTGCGGAGTGTTGACACGTTCGATCGTCGCGGATGGGAAACATCAAGCGAAACAACGTTAGATTTGCACACTCTATCCGTTATACCAAGATTGCAACAGTGTTGACTCGATGTGACGACGATAGTCTCTACCATGTAGTAATCTCTACCATGAATCGAAACTTGTAAAATTATTATACAAAAATAAAGACTCTCTCCAATAGTAAAGTCTAAAAAGTCGAAGAAAGCATTGAAACGACTTCTCTGCAAAGGAAAAGAAAAGAAAAAAAAAAAAAGAAAAGAAAAAGAGGAAACATTTAATACGCCGCGAATGCCGAAGGAATGGACCGTAATTCATTCCGTTCGTCGGTGGTATCGCAAACAATTTAATTTTGATCAAGAGGAGAAGGCGTTTCCTTTAAAAGGTAAATGAAGTTTTCCTATAGATTTTAATTATGGAGGGCGTGGCAGAGCAGCGACGCGAACGGGTATAAAACTCTCGACACGCTTAGCAGGACGATGGCAAACACACCGGGAACGATGAAGATGGGGACGAGGACGAGCGACGAGGAGTACGCGCGTCCATTCTTTTCCATTCTTTCCTTATGCTATGCCACCGGTGCTCTTCAAATAAAGTAACTCGAGATCGAACGGTGCACTCGAGGCTACAACCTCCCCCTCCCCCCTCCCATCCCTCGTCGTTTCGATGAATTTCGATCGGATCTAACACTCCTCCTCCACCTCGTCAACTCTTCCAACACTGTTCCACTTCAGTAATAACCATCCACGAACCGAGCGAGGCTACTTCATTCTAGTATGGAAATTTTTTCGACGACAGCTAAGGATGGAACTGACATTGTCGCGTGCCAACTAGCGTGCCCAGATCCTGTTGGAAAAAGTATCAAATATCAAATACACACGCAGTGTTTCGCAATATGCACTTCCTTTTGTCATTCTTGACCGTACTTTACGCTAGATCGACTGTTCGATTGGGCAAGGAATGAAAAGAGAGAGAAATCGACAGAGGGGAAGGAAGAATTCGTTTAACGCGGATCTTTTCGGACGACCTGTCTGTCCGCGTGTTTGTGGTTTCCTCGTTGGGACGAATTAAAAGAATCGAGATGTCGAAAACATGTTGTTCCACTCCTCCTTCCTTGTTAACTCGAATTCCATCCGTTTTCGTGGATCGATCGCTCACTGTCAATACGATTCCCTATGAGGAATCATTGTGAAGAGCTCGACGCACCATGAAACAATGCCTATGTGCTTTTGCTGATGATGACAAATGTATTGTGTTATTATTGAGAATCGGTTATTGCTACGTGGTTATTTATATATATATTTATATATATATAATATAATAAATATATATATATATTATATATATAAAAATAAATATATACGTATTACAATTCTTGATAAAGTACGTAATGATCGATAAAGTTGCGTAAAAAGAATCCTATCGTCTGCTGTGAAGGGCAACAACGTCAGTCGTGTCATCAAGGAATTTCGCGTATTTTAATTCCCCCTGAGAAGACGGTCCATGCCTCTGAATATGTTCTCTCATCGAACAGTTTTCCTCTCGGTTCTACACCGAGGGGGAAAAAGCAAAAGTTTCGGCGCGCAATATTCGTTACTATGCATCGTTTTAATTTATCGACGACGCGACGTGCCGAATCGAAAAAAAAAACGTCAATTTTAAACACGGATTTATTGGAAACTCGAGAATCGACCACAAGCACCGATGATCAGTCGTGTGCAAGCTCGCGCACGATGTTGAAACAAGTATCAACATTGAAAAAAAAAAAGAAAAAGGAAAAAAAAAGAATTGACGGTCAGTCTCGTTGAAATTTAGCTTTTTAGCTGCTCGGCATTAAGGGAAACGACTTGTGCATTAAAGAAGGCACTGAACCGGAAAATGAAGAATCGAGGTCAACCGTAAAAGGGTTTAATGCCAATTGGATAATCGTCGTTTGTAACAACGAGACTTTTCTCCTTTAAAAGGGTGCGACGTTGTGAATGAACGGAGATAAAAACGATAAAAGAATTTCCTAAATTCCCTAAACAAGAGCCTGTTTCTCGTGAACAAACGCGACAACAATATTTTCAACCTCTCTTTCTTTGTCGAACGCGTTCGATTTTTTGATAAATAACAAGTTGAGAATCGTTCTTGGTCGTGCTGCACGATCCATGTTCGAGAAATTACTCGACTCGATAAAGCGATTAAAAATCATTAGAAATCATGGACAAAGGGTTTTGTAACCGATACGTTATCATGATCTATACCCTCACCGTGGAACAATCGAAGAAACGAAGGAAGAATGCATTGGCTACGATTGAAGGAATGAGCACGTAGGTGTAGTACATGTTTGCTCACACTCCTTTGTTACTGTCAGGTAACAAAGGTTCATCGATCGATTATTACCGTTGAATTATGCGTATTCCGACAAAAAAAAAAAACAAACAAAAAAGAGAGGGGAAAAAATAGAAATTAAGAAACGCTGTTCGAGATGATTCAAAGCGAATCGAAAACAAAGGGGGGGGTCGAGTAAAATATTTGGACTTCGAGAAAAACGTCTGATCCCTTGATTACCTGCGTTTCAATATCGGAGACCTCCTGCCGATAGATCAGGATGTCATGAAGCGTGTTAGCTGTCTGGACGATCAATGCTAGAATCGGTATGAATGGCAGCACCAGCATTTGTAGCAGCTGAATTCGTCGTCCACGGCGATGTGCCGGGTCCGTAGCACGTGCCCAGCAGGACTTCTTTCGGTTGGTCTTTGTCGCCGAGACATCGTCCGACGAGAGACTCCTCACCGAGCTTACTTCCGCCACGCACGAGCCATTACGCGGTGACATGCTGAAATAATTTCCACCGTTTCTTTTTCAATTCCTAGCCGAAAGCGAGCCATTCACTTTGAACGCCTTATCACACAACAACAACAACAACAACAACACACACACACACACGAACTGTTACAGACACTAGAATGAGTTGAAAATTCGTTAGAAAAATACTAACAAAGAAAAAAAAGAAAAAAAAAAACAATACTTCGCGATGCATATCAATCACACGTTTCAATCAACGATTGAAGAAAGGGGGGAAAAACAAATGAAAATTTCGTTCTCGGCGAGCATCGGTGTTGGTTAGTTGCAGATGGAGGTCATGCATACGAGGAGGCATTGTGGAACGTGTTCGACGGCCGTTCAAGTGAGCGTGCGTGCACGCGCTACAAGCCGGGGCAAATATTGTAATTAAACTATGCGAGCTATTTTACACTTAACTATATTAAAAGGAGAGACTATTTACGCTTAACTGCACGGCACACAAGAGTCATTCTTTGACAGATTGAAATTTAGACATACATTTAACCTGTGAGAGTAGATTACGGGTAGTTCTACAGCAGTTCGTGCTCGTGCAACTGTTAGGGGCTTCGAGCTCTTACGCTCGAACTACGAGGCCACGAATTTAATGGCCAAGCAAAATGTCATTCCGTCCCGTGTTTCTCCTGTCCTGTGTCGTGTTCTTTTGATCAACGATTGATCACGATGCACGATACCACTGACGCCACCAGTTTTTCCTTTGTTTCCTTTCTATTCACCAGCGGAATTAAATAACCGAGGGAACAAGCAACGAACGAGGGCGAGGCCTTTTTCGCGGAGAAGAAAGGAGAGCCATTGAACTTTTCACTGTTGCAGGTTGTTACGTATCGATGGTTCATCCTACAGGGAATTCCATTGATTTTGCCTTTTTTCAATTACGAGCAAAAAGACACGCGTGTTTCGCGCGTCGTGTTCTCGATAGAAAACGACTGATCGTGATACACGATACTGGGCACCGTCAGGTTTCCTTTCTTTCCTTTCCACTCGCTGGCGAAATTAAATAATCGAGGAAACAAGCAAGGCCTTCCCCGCGAAGAAGAAAAGGAGAGCCTTTGACATCGAGCCTTTTGCACGAGCAACTCGTTTGACACACGTGTTTTTCCTCAGCGCGTCGTGAAAGAAAATCAAACACAGTGTAAAGGAGAGGATCGAACGAGCGGCAGCCAACGTCGGTTTGAATAGTAGGCTGATTGTCACAAGTATACATTCAAGACACAAATTAGTAAGCCTGTTCTTCCCCTTTCCCCTTCCCTCCCCCTTCCCGCCCCACCCCCGTCTTTTGATTCCCAACGAAATGCTTGCAATCGCGACGATCTGTTTTTATTTCACTCGGCTGGGAAACGACGCAGCGTGGCGAACGATACGCTCGGTGAATGAAAATACCGAAGACTCGCTTGTACGAATTCGAATTAATTCGTACAATCGTCAAACGTTGTTGTTTGAGCAACTGCGTTATAACGAAGAACGCGCAATAGAGCAGCAACAGGAGAGGGACATTGCTTACAGCTGGCTTCCGTAAACCGCAATCGAGCGAAATGATGATCGCTGACGTGCATTGCCTGTTGTTCTCTGAATACGAGGTAATAATCTCGCAGCAGCGGAGCAAGACCAAGTTTAAGACCATTCTCTTCTTCTAAACTTCGCGCACAATGAAGCTAACCGCCGTGAAATCAAATCTTTAAACCCGGCAGCCTCCCATAGTACGCTGTTGCTACACTGTCGCCGGTTTCTCTAATTTCCGAAAACAACAACAACCGGGGGGGGGGGGGATGATTTGGGTCAAACGGACCATGAGAAAGTTTGCCAAATAAGTTATCTATTTTGTAAAAATCTCTCCTAGTAGAAAACACGCGCCGATGATTTTTATCTTACGAGTTAATAAAATGCATTCCAACAGCAAACGGGTGCGCGTAAACTGATCCGAATTAAGACGAGCAAATACGAGAAGGTAGTCACGCAGATATATCTGTTTAACGCAGAACAGCTACGAGCCCTGTAGGTAGGTACACGAGGAAAGTTAAATTCATTTGTAAATGGAAAACAGAAAATTCGACGCGAGGTGACTCGAAGTAGATGCGTTCTCTGTGCGTTTAACAGAGGAAAAAAACGATGAAACGTGAGGGAAGCAATTTCGTGAACTGCTCTCGGTCGGAGATTGCCTCTAAATTTCTTCGCATACCGAGCTATCCGTTCGAAAAATCTTCTACGTGAAATTGGGCCTGAAAATTCCAAAGACGCAAAGACTTGCACGCGCCGCGCCGAGAGCACGCAAGAATCGAAGTGAAGGAAACTCGATCCGAGTACATGAATTATCCGACAGAATGGTGTCCGATCGATGTCCTCATGTCGGAGGAAGGAAAACTGAAAGAATAAAAGGGACACGTAACAAAGAAAATTCATAGCTTCCTTCGAGGTTTCCTTCGAGATTGTAGACACACGTATGACGTGTGTTTTTTTCCCTTCCAACCCCTCGGTTGTTGTTGACGATCGGAATAACGCCGTTGTCTGTCGAGAGAGCAAGTTGCAATTAATGAACCGCGTGTCGGAGGTACGGTGCAAGCCTGTCCCATACTTGTCGCTGAAGGCAACCCGCCATTAGATTATGCACCGCCACTGTAGTGGTTTATTGCCATGTTACTACACACGATGCAAAGGGAATCCATGTCGAGCCACGAGGAACACGTCACGGCATCTGCCCGAAACCGCACCTTCGTAATTGCGTACGTCGTATTACGGATTTCTCGCTCACGAGACGATTCACGTTCCACCGGAAACTTCAAAACTGTGTGAATGAAATGGATCCGAATGGATCCGAGATTTTGATAGAGTTTGTTGTTGAGCAAAAGAAAGAAAAAAAAAAAAAAGAGAAGAAGCCAAGGCGAGTACATACAATTTGAAACGAGGATTTGTGAGATTTCAGAGGATTCTGTAAAAAAGAATTTAGTAGAATTATCGTCAAAGGAACCGGCTTATCGAAGATCTTATAATTATAAAGCCACGAAAATCAGTTACTCTACCAAGGGTTTCCACGTACTGGTTTTGGGAGGTCTATCGCAAAGCCGCATAATCGGATGCCACGAAACCACAAACCCATCGACAAAGAAGGTGGAAGAGAATACAGATTCTTTCATCGCTGAAAGGAAGTTCAGAGAGTAGATGAATGCACTGAGCTAGGCGACGATGGCTTTGCTCCTCGAGGAGAGGATGCCCGGAGCTAGCAGAGAACCGAGTAAATTAACAAGTTGTGAAATCCCGAACTTTGTAATAGATGGGAAATAAATTTGTTTCAACGGACAAAGGGGAGATAGAAAAAGATACGGCGACACGCGTAGAGGTAGAACGGCGATGATTTAAGAAGATTAAGGAAGCGGACTGTTCGGATGAAAGGAATCTCGGTTCGGGACGGAACGTGTTTCTACACGAGGAAATATATCTGCTTATCCCCTCTGTATAAGCTTGGCAATTGTTGAAAAGTCACGAATCGAACGACGAACCCCTGAAACCATGATCAAAAGCACGAAGCAGGAAGCATCGGCATGGCAGTGATTTCTGTAAAGCGAGAGGAGGTGAAAGCACGGTAGTGGAAGATATCCACGGATGCATCGATGCAGCCGAAGTATCGTACGTGTAGCTACTCAATCGCATGCAAACCGATATACTCACTCGTTTTGTATGGTGAGCATGACTGCAGGGGCCACGGTGTCCACCCTCACCTCGCGCGATCTCTCGCGATTCGATGGATCCGACTTCGGGCCTGAATGACTTAGGTACAACCAGGCGTATTATCTCATAGAGGAGGCTGCTCTCTCTGTCCATTCAGTCTCGATATAAAGGTATATACGCGGGGGAAGGGGCTACTATCAAACCATCTCAATGGCAACGACTACAAATAATCTACGAGCTGCAATCTTACGTACATACGTTCCGCTGTCTTGCGAGCACGGCTAAACGCACCGTATTTTTCATTTCGGGCTCGCAGGTTTCACTTTCGACGTTATCGACTCGCAGTACGATCGATCGATCGTCTTCATTACGCATTCCCACGGCATCCCGTGTCATTAATGGAAAAAAATTGCCGTCATCCTCTCTTCCTCTTTCTCCTCCTCTTCTTTCTCTTTTCTTTTTTTTTTAATAAAAAATATTCTGACACTGATTCAGGGGAAGGAATCGATAGATTCGCGGGGGAAATAAAAATACGTCGAATAATTTTTCGCCTGATGATGATCGTTGAATATAATCAATCTAAGCCTGACTCTGCTTTCGAAAGCAATTCGATAATCGTAAACCTGAAATTTCACTCGTAAACCGAATTATTGGCAAATTTTAGAGTGAAAAATAATCACCGCTCTTTGTGGTCTCACTAGTAGTAAATGAAAGAGCGAAAGTGATAGAATCAATCATCGAATTGTCTAAATAAATGTTACAAAAACGCTGTAATCGTAATGTTAATTTCGCAAGATCCGAGAACCCTGAGAAACAACAAATACAATAGGGAAAAGAATATTTCACAAACATTAATAGAAGAATAGTTTGATCCACAGCATGCAAAATTCTAGAATTCAGCTGGGATATTACAACATTTAGGTTAATTGCATGCTATAGAGATCGAGAGAAAGGGAGATGTGGACAGACTGATCGATTACATTAACATAAAAAAAAAAAAAAAAAGAAAAAGAAAAAAAAAAAAAGCATGCGAGAAAATATTAAATGGCCTTTTAATTTCGAAAAAATCGCATGCCAGTTCCAATTCGTGAATAGATTCGTGGCAAAGAAACAAGAGTGTCCATCAGTATACGAGCAACCACGAACAACCGGTGTACGTCAATAGAGAAAATTGCTCTTACGCGTGTTTAAACGAGGACCACGAGAGACACGTGGTTGAAGTCACGAGGACGTTCCTCTCTCGTGTTTAAAACTCTCCTCGTCTCTTTCGATCTTTCTTTTGGTTTTCGCTTCCTTTTCCCGCTCAATGATACTGTGCCTCTTGTCACGCGGTTACACCAGTACGTACGTACTTAACGATTCTTTCTCTCCTTTGATCTCAATCGGTAATTCTCAAAGATGTTTCTATGAATTTTTTAATCTGTTTCTAGCATCCGTAATAATACGTAAGGATCCTTTGTTCGAAACGTTTTAATCTCCTCTTTTCCTCTCTCTTCGTCTCGATCGTTCTTTTTGTTTCGATCGTAATCCAGGAATTTTCAATAAAAAAAATATTCTCTACGCTCGTTTTCTTTTCTCTCGCTGGTTTCTAAATATTTTGCGATTACGCGGTGAAAATTTTCTTTTTCTAATTGAGGGAAATTAATAAAAACGGTGAGAGTAGTGTTCGACGTGATTCGAGGTCGGAGAGACAATGAAGAAACCGAAAGAACAAACAGATGTTTCCGCATGGAATGCGCGACCGCATACTGACGATACGATCCAGGAACGTTGGCTGATACGCGATAGACTCCTTCGACGTCCAATGCGCATCCCCAACAACCCTACCGAACACTGACGTACATATTTCAACCCTCTTTTCCGACTTTTATATCGGATCATTTCCAACATCACGTTCAATTATCAATTACCCTACAAATTCTATCGCCAAAATAAAATTGAAAACGAAAAATAATAATAATCTTCCTTTTCAAACTTTGAATTCCACTTGTGCTGTTAAAAATTTGTTATCAAAAATTCACTTAGTACGTGAATACTCTGCGTGGAAAAATTTTTAAATACTTTTTTAAACACATTCTTCTATCTATATCCAAAATGCATGAATTGCAAGATTGATTTGAAATATAATGTTATCAAGCAATTATCGATGTGAAAATTCTTCAGAAATGTCAATGTGATTTGATGAATTTATTATTTTGATTTCGTTGTTTGACACGTGTGGATATCTTGTTGTTCTAAACTGCATCGTGTTGCCATCTCTGAAGGAAACTATAAGTAATTTCTAACACGATAGTTTTTAACGCGAATTATCTTATCGGTTTCGCATTTGACCACTTGACATTTTTTCCTTCTTAAATGCATTATCTTGTTCGCATAATATGCTCTTTGATAGAAAACTATATGAAACTTCCTTTAAGTTTATTATTTTCGATGCAATCTAATTATAAAATTGTCCAAAAAATTTGAAAAATATTCCATACATCCATTTTTTTTTTGTTTTGTTTTTGTCTCGTTTCTATCAAGTAACATATATTTATATGTATATTATTTGTTTTAAATTATTTGACTTAGTATCTTTTAATCTTATAGAAATTTAAAAAATTAATGTTTTGACTTCTCAATGATAACGCAAAATTGATCTTTCGTCAATATCTTAACTTCAACAACTTATGCACAGTGAAATGTGTTGAATTCAATTATAAGCAGGTCTACATATCTGTATAAAAGAGAGATTACGTAATAAAAATTATTAAATTGCAGATATACATCCTTGCAACTGATTTATTACGCTCTTACGAAATAAAAAGTCGTACTCAAACACGTGATTAGATAAAGTAAATTTCCTCTGGCGAGATAGATAGATTACTGGCAAGTAATTATTACTCCTTTTACATACGTTCTTTAATAAATTACACATACGGTTCTTATTTAAAGGTAATTTGAATCATATTTACATTTGTATTTAAATTATTATACATCTACATTAATATTTTAAAAACAAATTTTTAGACAATATATTGATCATGACAACTTTGAATCCTAATGAACTTACCATAATACAAAGAGAGCTACACGTTCCTTCTCTTGATGAAATAAAAGATGGTAATTTTCAATATAATCTCTGTTTATAAAAAAATTTTAATGACGTAATATAAACATATATTTTAATAAATATATTTTTTAATAGTTTTGAAAAAAGGATTGGTTAAAAATTTCGCGAATGTTGAAGTAGAAATTGTTGATTGCCCAGATTTAACCCAAGAACCTTTCACACTTGCTGCACCAGGTAAATAATGTTCTAAATTTTAAATATCTTCTATACTATTTTAAATTAATATATGAAATTTAATATTTAGGTTTAGGTGGTAACTCAATATTGCTGGAAATTGGTGGTCCATCATTTCTTCTTCCTACTGTGCAAAAAGATAAATTATATGATATTCAACAACTTTTGAATCACTTACAATACAAAAAAGATTCTTTTGTTATTGGAGCAGGTGCTGGCCCATGGCCATATCTAAATTCCAATTGTGAAGTATAATAACTAAATTAAGTTTTTAGTTATAAATCTATATATTTGGTTTAATTATTTACTAGATATGTAAAACTTTCTTCTAGCTTATAATGAACTTGATTGTTTCATCATCCAGTGTACAAAATGGAACTCGTATTTCATCTGTCAATACAGCAAATGGGAACTGTGTGCTTCAAACATTACCTGACAATGAAACAAGACTTGCTTTATTAGCTAATTTATTTGTAACTGAAGGAAAACCAGGAAAAGTTCTAAAAGTGCATGCTAAGACACGTACTGGAAATAATGATTTTATTGCATCTATGCAAAAAGCAATTGCTCAACATTATCCAAATAATCTTGTTGGTAAGAATTATTATGACTAATAAATATATTTTATATTATAGTTCAATATCTGTATTAAATTTTTACAATTATAGGATTAGGAGGAACATTTTTAATCAAAAATGGAAAAATTAAACAACACGTTATGGCTGATTTCTCAAAAACTCCATTAAATACTGAAACACAACTTAATAACTGGTTGCACTTTTATAATATGTCAACACCTTTAATAGCTGTTGGTACATTCGTCAGTTCTGAAAGTGTAAGTAAAATCATATAAAACTGGATAAACTATCCAAGCTGCACTTTAACAACATTATTGGCAATAAATGATTTGAAATTTTTAAAAATCTATTATATGTAGTATTGTTTTATAGTATTCTGCATGTGTATTGTAATTTTAGGATTTAGATCTTCGTGTTCAACACTTCCACAGTTTTTCCCACCATGGAGAGGGTGGTCATTATCATATTGATACAACACCAGAAACTATAGAATATCTGGGTTATTTCAACTTGGGTACTACACTTTATCGTGTAGATAAACCACTAAGTGGTCTTCAGTTTGGAAAGGATTAATTTTCGTTACATAATTATATATGCATTTTATCCAAATAAAAGTAGTGCATAAATGTTTATAATATTATAACAAAAACATGTAAATATATATTTGAAAGAAAAAATATATTTTCAAGCCATTTTACTAATATAATAAAAATTATTATTGAAATAAAATTAAAGTGTATGAATATATCTACAAGCTGCATAAATGTCATAACGTATTCAATGTACAATTCATTCAACAAAAAATTTAATTAATCTATTAATAAATCTATTAAGTTATGTAATTACGAATAGATGTACTTGTTCCAGGTATGTTGATGAATACATTAATTTTGAAAGCTGTAAAATACACATAGAATGGATCATATCAGTTTTACAACAAACTGGATCTTGTTAACATTTTTCTACCGTTTTACATTCAGACGAATTTCAATCCGATCATTACATTTTCCAAATCTTCCTACCGTATTAATCCGTAATAAGCTGTTTGACGTGCAAAGCTGTATGTTAATTTTATCAGACAGCAGATGTATTAGTGGTAAACGGTAGTATACCGCAAATGTCTCGTTTAGTATAATCGTGTATCGTAACTGTAAAGTAGCTGAACGATGAAATTCAGCATTGAATCTACTGCTTCTTATAATAGTATCCATCCAGCATATCATTATACTGAACAATTTGCCAATAATGCTGAAACATATCAAGAGAGTACCAAATGGTATGGAGTGTTTTTGGCATTTTTATCAGGTACATTTTTTACAATTAGTTCTGCATTAGTTAAAGCAGTAGAAAACGTACATCCTATGGTATTACTGGCTATCAGATCTGTTCTACAAATGTTAGTTATGGCTGCTGTAGCATTTAAAGTTTCTAAAAATGTTTTTGGACCCAAAGGACAAAGAATGCTTTTACATTTACAAGTATGTCAATTATAAAATTAATAATAATTATATTCTATGTATTAATAAGTAAAAAATCTAATACAGTATTTCATCTTTTCTTAGGGAATAGTAGGTGGTGCAACTCTATCATTATTATATTATAGTTTTCGAAAATTACCTATAGGAGATGCTACAACAATCATATTTAGTTCTCCAGTGATTGTTATTGCATTATCTTTCATTCTGTTGAAAGAACCTTGTGGAATATTACGTGTGATAGTTATGTGTGCACTCTTTGCAGGTGTCGTTTTTGTATCTAAACCACCGTTTCTATTTCAGGTAAAAAAATTCTTTATAAGATTTTTTTATAAATGAACAATTTGGCATGAAATATTTGTTTTTCTAGATTCACAGAACTGAACCATACAATGTGATGGGATATATATGCGCTATCTTGGCAACCCTTTTTACAGCTCTCAACATAGTTATTATGAGAAAGTGTTCAGAAATCCATTATTCAACAATAATCTTCAACCTATCTTGGTATTCACTTGTTACAGCAATATTTTTCTTCTTCCTCATATCAGACAATCACGAACAAAAATCAAAGTTGCCACATGATTGGATTACCTGGAGTAAAATATTGTTAGTAGCACTAACTGGATTATCAGGTCAAGTTTTGGTAACTAATGCATTAAAGATAGAAAGTGCTGGAAAAGTATCTGTGACTAGATCTTTAGATATTATTTTGGCTTATATTGTACAAGTATATTTTTTCGGAGATCAGCCTACATCAACCAGTATCATTGGAGCATTTCTAATCATAGTTTCTGTTATATGTATGGGATTTGAGAAAGAAATTTATAATATTTGTGATTTTATTCCCTAATTAAAGATACAGTACCTTAAATTATTTACTTGCTTTTAGCATAAACATAGATAATATTATACATATTTTTATGAATGGTGAAAACATTATTATTATACCACTATGTATTTAGCTTATTGAGTTTCATAATATAAAGTTTTAAGATTTTATACAATATAATGTTGAATTATATATAATTACTATTCATTTACATAATTTTTTTAGTCGCATAAATTTATCTCACACAAATTTCCATTTGAAATAAAAACGAAAGTATCAAGTATTTAAGAGTGTAATTTAACAAACTGACTTTTTCAAATCTACGTTTTTTCCAAACTTTGTTATTAGATAGATGTGACATAATTTTTAAAGTATACAAATGAATATATATTTACAATTGTACACACATTATTATCATATGTACTTCGAATTATCCGTAACTTTGTGCGGACATAATTAATTGTATTTTATAACTGTTGGTTTATTAAAAAAAAAATATATATATATCTACGATTAACAACACCATTTCCAAGATAATAGTATATACACTTTCATTCTTTAGCTATTTTATTCCTGATAGATACAAACAATTCTATCAAGAAAATGCTAATTTAGAGCTTATAAATTTATACATATTCTTGGAGCTTACTTACATTATAACTAAAGTAATACATATAAGAATTCTTTAAAACTTTATCATGCAACATAGTATTATATGCTACACTAATTATTTTAGATCAATTATCGTTAGAAAGAAGCCACGGATACTTACATGCAATCAATCTTCTTGTAGTTGAAAAAAATCAAAAAAATTATATTATAGCCTTTCTTGTCTGTACCTCTTTTAAACATTCTGTTATGAAATTTCATCCAATTTGAATATTTTTGCAATTATTGCCACCTGCACTAGCTGCTCTATGCGTTAACTACATAAATTTTCGAATTTGTGTTATACTTAAATAATATAAAAGCTACCGTTAAATGAAAATGTAATATGTATAATATTAAAATAAAAATTATTTATACATAATATCAACTTTTGTCTGAGTTGTTTGATGTTTCTTATGTAAATATATATTTATATATTTCTTATCCAAAAATTGTAACTTTACATTGGTCACATATAAATTTTTTTGTTCTTACATGTCTTATAATTTTGAGACTATGTGAGGTCTAGTTTGTATGACCAATTTAAATAAATTTAAGCCAGTTTTAAATGTTTCTTTAGTGTTATAACAGTAGCATAATTACATATATTACTAAAATAGTTAATCACTATTCCAGTATATACACAAGATACAAAATATGATGCTGTCCTATGAATGTAATTATTAAACGCATTCTTTATTACTTGAATAATTTTACTGATGCTTTTCTCAAAATAAAATTATCAATATCTTTTTATCTATTTATTTGTTGAATCTTTTCTAATAATTTTGTTTATATGGGTATCACCCAAGACTAGAAGCTGAAATATTTTCGATACGATTAATTATATCAAAAAATATTTTCGACAAAAGTTGAACAAAGAAATTCGATTTTGAACACGTATCACATTGAAATATTTTAATTAAAATATTTTCTAAAGTAATGATTTTTCAGTATAAATGGTTTAATTTTTTTTTTTTTTGTAGAAAATGACTAGCTGAATTAATTCGTGTATTACAAAATATATAATTTCATTTAAAAAAACAAACTTAATTTTCAAGTACCTCCTATGCATCCACACTAAAAACTTATAATTATGTCAACTAAAACCCCTCTCGAAAACTAAACCATTCAAGCTTTTATCTAAAATATTTTTTTATATAATTAATTGTTTCCAAAATATTTTAATTTTTAGTATTAGATGACTCATCCAATATGTAGAAATATATAAAACAAATGAATAATGGGCATTGTGCACCATTTCTAGAGACATAGATAAGAGTATTAAATAATATATATATATATATTATATATATATATATATATATATATATATATATACACATATTATTTTGCAAAATGTTACAAATGGTATTAGAATTTTCATTATATTCAAAATATTTCTTAGTTATAAAAATATAGCACACACAGTTTTTGATTGATTGCCTTGTATAATGCCATTGAAATACAACTAATTTAACTTTGGAATACAAATATACATACATATATATATATATACATGTATACATATATGTATGTATGTATGTATATATATATATATATATATATATATATATATATACATCATTTATATATACATATATCACCTCAAAGCTAAGAATGACAGTACAAAAGTATTACAATATTTTGCACTAAATGCAATAAAACGTGTTATTTTATATAAGAAAATATATGTAAATTATGAAATATATGTGATTCCTTTATCTTAATCTTATCAAAGTTGAAATATTTCGTAAGGAATCGGATTTATCAAAAAAAAATTTGTATAAATAAAAAATAAATTTATAAATAATTTTATAAATTTTTATATTTTACGAGATATTTTGACTCTGCAAGATAAAAAGGAAATACCTTGTATATTTTAAATAATTTTTAAAACTAATAATATTCAATATATGACCCTGCAAATTTTAAGAAATTTGAAATATTAATTAGTTGCTTTTTATTATCATTTAACATAGTCTTATTATCATTTAACATTGAATATTAATAAGTAAAATACAAAACAATCCGCAATGCAATAAAAAACTTGAATATTTTTTAACTTGTGAGAACATGAATATTTCACATAAAACGATTTCGGATATAATTTAATGTAACTTTTAGAGATGAAATATGTTGACAAAAGGTAACTAATTAATTCAATAAATGAAATTGATTACTTAAAAAGAAAATTTTAATATTTGTGTTTAATTCTTTATTTCTATGAGACAAAGATGCAATATTGTAAAAGGTACTTGTCAATATATCTAAAATATTCATACGAAAGTATATACAACACTATTTCCAATACTTAAATTAGTATTTTTGTAATATTAAACTTTTGTAAGCCTATAGTAATATGTAAATTTATATTAACCAAAACAAAATATAATTTTACTGCTTTTTTCAATATACCGTCTTATGTAATGTCTGATGAGTAGCACCCATCGATCATAAATGATATACAATTGATGGGTATGTGAAATCTATGAAATCTATATTTTTAACATACAACATAAATAAATAAATAAGATAGTAGATCTATAAAAAACTTTGATCTTCCTTTATGATTGTGCATAATTTACCAGCGCTTAAATTAAAATAATTTCAAAACTTATAACATGAAAATTTTAATGTTCTTTTTTCATAAAATTCTACACATGTTTCATACAATCATATATAATGCCAAATATAATAAAATAGTTTTCTAATTTTATGAAAACCATTCAGATATGTTAATATGAACAAAGTATACCATAATAATAAGCATATTTTATTATATTGTGAATACTATTAAATAGCAACAATGCATTCGTGTTCCTTGTGTCATAAAATGCTCCAAAATACAAAAATTAATTTATACAAATATGTTTTTATGCAGCCTGTGCAAAATATGTGTATTATTACAATATTACAATATTACAATTACTTGATTTAAGACAAATTTATAAATTTAATTTTTTTTTTAAGTGTGAATTAAATAGTTAATATCTAATTTTCCAATTATGCTATGTCGACTTCTAAGTATTACTGTGAGTAAAAAATTTAAGAAAAATCTGGAGTCAGATGGTAATATTGCATACAAATTATTCATCATAATATTTCAATGCATTGGCTGTCATGTACCTAATTACTTAGGAGCTAAAAGCAAAAATACGGAGTAGATTTAATTTATATAAACGAGTAATATTATAAAACATACTCGCATTAATATTTAGAATACTTTAATACTTTATGTACACAACGTGCCATTATTTCATTTTTTTGATAAATTTCTTTATAAAATTGTGGATGGTAAAAGAATGATCTAAGAGTTTAATCTTTTGACCAAGATAATTTGCTTCACAAATTGTACATATAAAATATTTGTAACATTAATTATTGTATCATGATTCAATATGAATTTTGAGCCAAATAGTTTTTTTTTTTTTTTTTTTTAAAGAGAAACACGAATAGTATAAAAAAGATGTAATAATAATGTTAATCCAAAACGAATATGTTCGAAAGTTCTTATATATTATAGAATGACGTAATGAACTAAAGACAGCATCAACTTTTAAAATATTTAACACAAAAATCTAGTATACTTCATAGAGCAACGAGTAGAGGACATTTTGGCATACTAACATAATGCCAATTCAAATAAACAAATAAACTTTCATTGGCTGATTTAAAATATTGCTTAAACAAACAAATATTTTTAAAATATAACAGATTTGCATACCTTTTTTAATTTCATTGAACAAATTAAATCAAATGTGTATTGGAACATGGACCAACAATTCTGCTCGGCTGGAAAATACTGCGGAACACATTTCGCATGTATATTCCACAGCATCTGGTATAATAGTTTCTGGAATATCATCCACAGGTGCTATAACGCTATGAACAGCCAACATTCGTTGAGGTGTCGATTCAACTTTTACACTAAGTTTTACATTTCCAGTTCCCACATTTTCAGTATTATTGACTTCACCTACATCAGGAAGTATATTTTCTTCTTCGGTTGTAACACTTGCTTCAAATGCAACTTCCAAATTACTTCCATCCACTGAGTGATCCATTAATCTTTCCGAATCCATATTTTCTGTATTATTATTGTTTTGTATTTGCTCGTGGTCAATATCCATTGGTTCTTGCTTAATTCCATCTTTCTGTTTTTTAATTTTTCTCAAGACACCTGATTTTTTTCTAGGTGCTGATTCCATCTTTTCATTATTAATAGTAAGAATATTGCCATTATTATTTTTGTGATTATTATTTGATGTTTTCTGCATATTAGGTTCTATTTTTATGTTGGTTAATGTTTGATGGTGTATCGGTGCTGGAGATAATAAAGGTTCTTCCTTTGGTTTTGGGAATGTTGCAGGCGTTGGTTGAAGTTTCCCTTCAATGTGATAACTAACGTTTTTTGTTCTTGGTCTGTTTCTTTCTCCACCCGGAAAAATACCTAGCTTGTGTTCTTGTGGCATCATTTTAGGAGTCCTTGTTACCATTGTTTTAGTTTTCTGTCCCTTTTTAACTCCGTCACTACCAATTTCTACAGGCACTCTTGTTTTTTGGGTGTGAATCATTTTTGGTCTACCAGGTTGACATGAAGCTTCAGCTTCACCTTTTTTTTCTTCTTTCCTAAGCTTTTTTTTAGAAAGCTTCGATTTTCCTGGATTTAATTTTGAGTTACTGACGATAGAATTTATATTTTGTAATGAGTTTTCAAAACTTTTCAAAACATTCTGATAACCTTCTTCAACATTTGATCGATGTTGCTTATTTTTTCTTCCAAGTTTTCTTTTTGTATTATCATCTGAATCAGAACCTCCTTCCGTCATATCATACTGCTCAGTCATACGAAGCATTGTATTGGTTTCATGGGTTTTCAGTTTACGTCTTCTCTTATATTTACGTGGTCCAGTTTGTGGTTGACGTCTTAATGCAGTATTATCATCACAATGTTGCACAATATGAGCAACTATTTCTTCCGATGTTGCATATGCATCACCACACACTTTACATAAGTATGGTGTAATACTACCTACACATTTTGGATCAGGGCCTGAATGATGAGCACGAACATGTTCTCTAAGAACAACCTACAATAATGAAAAAAAAAGTAAGTAAAAATATAACTGAGTGGAACAGTAAAATATACTTTAATTAAAATGCCTTACTCTTTGATTAAACGCACGTGGGCAAATCGCGCATCCGTATGGCTTTTCTCCTGTATGGATACGTTCGTGTTTTCTTAAAGTACCACCATCAGCAAATGCTTTCCAACAAAATCTACAACCATATGGTCTTTCTCCAGTATGAATACGAATATGAATTTGTTGAGAACTACGGCTGCCGAATGTTTTCCCACATTCTCGACACGGGAAAGAACGACCGCCTAGATCTTTATTATGTGAATGTCGATGGCTAACAAGAGCTCTACCATCAGGAAATTCTTCTCCGCATTCATCACAAGCTACCATTTTATTGCGATGCGATACCATATGTCTGATTTAAAATTCCGCCAGTAAGTAAAAGATTAAACTTACAAAAGATACAAAAATAATTATGAGTACCTTCGTAATCTAGCTTTGCTGTGAAAACGTTTGCCACATTTTGTACATCCAAAAGTTTTATCAACATTATGAACCCACGAATGCTTTAATAAGCTGCGTTTATCTTTACAGGTTTTTCCACAAAGGGTACATGTGTTTGGTGGAGCATCTTCAGCATGATTTTGCCGAACATGTTCAGCAACTTCTGCATCATCACGACATCTTTCTCCACATAACAAACATCGACGACTGGGTGATCTAGATAGATTAAACAGATTTTCTTTCTAGCAATATTTATCTAATATTTACTTTAAATTTTTTATATTTACCTAAATATAAATTTTCAAAGATATTGTCATAGAAATGTAATTTAATTTTAAAAAAATCTTAAATAAATAGTACCTAGCATGAAGTTCAGCATGTGCTAATAATGCTAAAGCTTCTTCGAACCATTCACCACAAACATTACAGACATGATGTTGACTTGGGCCTTCCACTATATCAGCTTCTTGTTTGACATGAATCCTAATGCAATCAACATTAAAATTAATATCACATTGTTATTAATTTTCCTGCAAATTGGCAGAGTATTTGAACAAAATTTAATTTTAATTATTATATATAATCTTAATAAATAAATTTTATTTGTTACCATAAAATTATCTTACTTCTGATGACGTTTAAGTAAATCCAAACGATGGAATGGAACACCACAAGTATTACAATAAAATTCCCCAAATCTTTCATCTCCTGTATAAGTGGCATCATTATCATAGTCTTCTGTATCAGATTGTACCGTGCCACCATGTTTAATACGAATATGTTCTCTTAAACTGTTAACATCCCAAAACATATCACCACATGATGTACATTCAAATGGACTGTCACCACCATGTACACGTGCATGAGATGCAAGTGCTTTTTCCCTTGCAAAACCAACACCACAATACTGACAAACATATGGTTTTGTTGGATCAGTTATAGGCCATCGTGGTGCTTGGGGATCAGTTGATACAGGTGACATTTGTTCAGACCATCTTGAGCTCGAAGCATAGTTACCACTGCGCGCAGAATTTCTACTAGTCATTTCCTCCAAAAGACGCATATCTTCGTCAACATAATCATAAGATTTATTGACGTACTTGCCCATTTCCATTTTATTATCTTCCATGCGTTTTGAAATTGAATTATTTTTACGTTTTCTTGGTATACTTGATTGTACCTTTTTACGTCTGCCTTTAGTAGATTCTTCTTCCTCTGGTGCCAATGAATCATCATCATTTAAATCATCTTCTAAACCATCTCTTGGTGGTGCATAAGCATGAATCTTTAAATGATTCATTAAATCACATTTTCTTGCATAACGTGCTCCACATAAATTACAACCATGAGGTCGATCTGTTTGATGTGTCACCATATGATTCATTAAATTTGCTTTTTTTCTGAACCTTCTACTACAAAAATCACATGGATAAGGTCTGCTATTTGTATATGAATCTTGATCAATTGGTAATGGTATTTCCATATCATCATATTCCAGTAAATTTTCGTGAGACACTTTTGTTTCTGATATTTCAACTCTTCAAAATATAAAATTGATGAATTATTTAATTTACTAAATTTAACGTAAAAGAACATTTTATATAAACTTACCCATCTTCTGGACCAGATCTATCCCAATTATCTGCAATTACTTCTTCTGTAACCTGTATGTTTAAATAGTCATGACCTTGATCTTGTGGAACTATGTAAATAGATTCCATATCGTTGGACTGTGGTACCATTAGTATTTCTGATTCTGTCGTAGGAGTAACATTGGGAACTGATTCTACTGTTTCCTCTATTGCAACTTCTTCACAAGCTCCTATCACTTCTTCTTCTGCTCCAACAAGCTGTGTCTCTAAACCACATATTACCTCTTCGTGAATAACATTCCCTACCTCCTCCACCCATTGTAGTGTTAAATCTCCAGCAACATCCATTTTGTTGTAATGTAAATTTATTTAATCACTGAAATCATTAAAATATAAGAATTATTTTTAATTTTAAAATTGTTATAATAATCATTTTATTTTTGTTTATTTTGTTACTTTGAGGTTGTCATTTATATAATATCTATATGCCATATACTATTACACTGAAATAAACGAAGTATATGTCTGCTATAGATACATACAAACACATAAACATCAAAAATATATGAAGTTAAATATTAATATGATTAATATTCAATCATGTTTTTAAAGTTAAAATTGAAGAAATATAATTTTGACTCCAAGAATGATATTTTCTTCTCAATAATTATTTACTCAATTTTCAAATAAACAGACTTTAGCCGACTTCTAATTACACATTGTAAATTAACAGTAAACTGCCTTTATAAAAAGTCTTTAGTCTATAATAATTGTATAGTAAAAAAAATTATTATTTTCATTCAACAAATGCAAATCTTTAACAGAAAATTTATATTCGTAAATTTCTTACTGTGAACAAATTAAATCTATTTAATAAAATATAATATTATTAACAGAAGCTGTAATATCGAAAAGAATTGTATGTGAAACTAATTTAGGAAGAATTAAGTAACGCGTAGCAGACATTTGAAATTATCTGCTAATTACGATTTTGAAATTTTTTGAGAGCGTTTCCTCTAAACTTATTAAACAACGAATATTTAAAATGTTGACATCTAAGGTTATATTATATAGGTTATGACTTTAGAGGTTATAAGAAGCATTTCGAAATAGAAAATTGTTTTACACGGACGAATCAATTGAAATAAGTGCCATATAGATCGGTAATGAAAAACAATGGGTGGCCGATCGGGTAACAGTATTTTACATATGATCAAAGCAGTAGCCATAGCCTCTCTTTATTCCGAGCCTCCTTCCATCCAATTACACATTACGAACTACGTTAAAGTTGTACTTCTTCGTGCACGCGTAGAAATTTTCTACCTCACTTCAATGTTGATAGAAATAGACGTGATCACAATAATTTACTTACTGTTAAATATCCTCTACACAGCTATTAACCTAACCAAAAATACTTTATCGAGATTGAGAACAGCGTCAACCTTCGGTTGTTTTCAATTTGGAGGGGATACGTTTAGAAATAAATTTAACAAAATGGCCGATAGATGTGACTTTGGGGAATAGCCAACTATAGATGAGAAATCTGCGCAAAATCTTTCGCATTTTGTATAATAGTTGTCTGTGACAGACAATTTATCGTGCAATGCATATTAAATATATAAATATCTACAAAAATTATTGTTATTCAGTATTTAACTTATGTTTCTAACTTATGCATTTACAATCACAAAGTAAACGCGCGATATATAAAATATCAGTTCACAAGTTCTCATTGGTATATGCTATGATTGCGCAATGTAAATGCACCATTCTATATAACTGAAACATGATTTGTCGTTTACGAATCTATTTATTGTTGTGTTTTATGATTATAATCCGTTAAATTACAAGAAATTTGAATTTGTGTTTATGTATATCTTTGCACTTTTATTTACGAGTTCGAGTGGTTTGATTACTATTGTATATTATTTGAAATAATAATAAGCAAAGTAAATGAAAGGCAACTTGTAGTATAAATTACAATGTAGAAAATATAAAGATTTTAGAAACGACATTATTCAATTAGAAATTAAAAATGTTTGTCAAATCTAATTCAACAGTGAGTGTAAATTAAAATTTTAAATATATAAATGATCTGTAAATATTATATATAACCATATATTTTCTCTTAGGGTAAATCCAAAGATAAACGGTTACAGTTAACAAGGATGACAGAATGCTCAACTTGTCCAAAATTATTACCAAACAGTACGTCTAAAAAAGGTAATTTTATTAATACAATTTTATGTAAATTAAATAATAATATTAATTAAATTATTTTGTAGATTATGGAAGACCTCAACCAATTAAAATTGCTCAATTGCTTAAGCAATCCGAAAGTATAAAAAATATTCCACAAGACAGTGGTACATGTTCATTTTTTGTTCTTAATTTTTTTTATATGTGTTCTTAATTTTTTTTTATATAAGTGTTATATATTCATAAAGATGAATACATTTCAGTACGTAAAAGGGCACAACCTGAAAGACTAGGTGCACTTTCAAATAAAAAAAATATAAAATTAAATGATAAACAAACTGGTTAGTATATATTAATATCTTTAACTAAATGTTCAAATAACGTATCATTTTATTTTTCTTAGGTACTGAAATGACACCTTCTAACAGGTGTGCACGTAGATTTCTTAATTTTAGTAAAATTTCTACCAAAATTACAAAAAACGACAATGAAAATGAAAATCAATCAAATAAATTTGAACAGCTTCATAACGAAGTTTTTAAACCAAATAAGAAAAGAAGCTTATTAATACCACCGAACACCATAAGAGAAAAACATTTACAAGAGTGTACTCAGAAAAATATCGGACAATCAATGATACATATGACATTAAAAAAAGTGGATGAAATAAATATTGATTCTAAGGATGAAAATAAAATCACAGATGAATCCTTAAATGTTAATATAAATTCTGCAGTATCAATTGAGAGTAAGCAAAAATGTAACGATCAGAAAATTGTTCCATCTCCTGATCATTTGAAATCAAAGTTTACTGGTCATTCTGCACAACATTTTGAAACATTACACGTAACACCAAAAATTTCAAGTTTCTCTATGTGTAAATCTTCTCAGCAGATAAATAATGAGGATCAGGTATTTATGCAAAATAATTCAATACGTGAGAAGTTTACACCTTTGAAGTGTAACATAGTTTCAAAATCAAAAGAAACAGACGATTGTGTTCAAAATTTATGTAATAACTTACAAGATACAGTGTTAATAACTTCTGAAAATATGGAACATAAATCACCTGAAATGATTAATATAAGTAAAGATAAAATTATTCGTTTCAAACACGATTTAAAAGATTTATTAACAGAAACAGAAGAAAATGTAATTAAAATGAGATCAATGTTAACACATATCGTAGGATTATTTGATAAAGAAATTACTTCCAATATTCAGTTAAGGAAAGGAAATAATACTATGGTAGACAAAGAAGTTCAAGTAGAAACTTGTTGTAAATCAGCACAATATTCAGAAAAAAAAGTGCCACAAGTTATAGTAACTGATAATGTTGACAACAAAGAAAATGATGGAGTTCAGAGTATAAAAAAAGTGTTTGATAATACAGCAGATGAAAGTTTCTTAGAATTAGAAAATCAACTTAACATTACACATGCAAAACCTATGCAAAATGACTCCCAGTTAAAAACTCCTAAAATGAAGAAAAAAGGGAAACAAAAACGACCACTTAGGGAATACATGGCTTTAAAATCAAATATGAATTTTTTAGAAACTCCAGATGGTAAAAAGTTCAGATCTCTATGCCAGATAGATGATGTGGACAAATCTGTCCTTAATGTAACATATATATCAAATAAACTGCTCACAGATCTTCAAAATTTATACTCTGAATCACCAGATTCTTGATCATGAGTTTCTTTTTATAATTGTATTGAATTGAAATTAATTGTATTCTGATATAATATTGTAATACAATTATTATCTATTAGTGTGTAAGTTTTATATTTGTACATGTGTGTAGTAATATAATAATTTAAATTTTAAATGTAAGATAAATATACCTATTTTTAATGAATAAAATATTTTGTGTATTTATTAAAATACTAATTTTAATAAAAGAATTCAAATTTAAATTCAAGTCCATAATTTTAAAACAGTAATTATATAAAATAATATTCTTTTTTATAATATTATTAAAAATGTCTAAATTTTTACAATAAATATTTAATAAAAAGTATACTTAATATAACATAGAATTTGAATAGGTTAGAATGAAGTAAGCAAAAGTATATCGTATGATTGCGTATCTTTTAGGATGTTCGATCAATGGTGCAACTACCTCAAGCTCGCTTGGGACGATTTCTGTCACAGTAAAATCATTAAATATATAATGACATCCAAATTAGGAATTTTTATTTCTACATTGGTTTTTGACATTATTATTTTCAAAAGAACCTGTGCGTTATGTTGCACCTTTTAAATTTCTCATAACAAGTCTGATTACCGTACCTTAAAGAGTTAAACGTAATGAGAATGGCTCGGCCGAAGCATAGAGTTAACACGGATATATGTGCTGAGTGTGGAGCACTCGGTAAATTCATTTTTTTCTCTTAATAATTTAATTAACATAGAATTTTTATTAAATTTACTTTCTTACTAGTATTGTACAATCACATGTTAATAAAAACTTGTTTCTAAACTGGTTAAGATTAATTAAAAGTATTTACATTTTTTATACACTTTTTTACGTATATATATTATGTATATTATGTAAGTTAATTAATTTATCTATAAGAAAATAATATTTTATTTATAGTTTTCATATAATTAATGAATTTTATAATTGACACTATATAAATTTGTAGAAAAAATTATTGTCATTTGGTATTTTATGTTATTTTTTTATATTTATTAGAATTTAGTACATTAATAATATGTATTTTATTGTAAAAATGACATGGTAATAAATTGTAAAACTGCTTTCAGAACCAGGATGGGCTTCATTGAATAGAGCAATTTTATTATGTGATGATTGTTGTGGTATACATCGTAGCCTTGGTCGTCATATATCTCAAATAAAATCACTTCACAAAAGCACTTGGCATACAAATCTCCTTAATGTTAGTAAAAACAAATACAAATATGTATAGCTTATAAAATGTCTGAAATATCTATAATGTAAAAAATAATTAATTTATAGATGGTGTATACATTAAGTGATAATGGAGCAAACAGTATTTGGGAACATTCCCTTTTAGATCCTAGTAATTCAAAAATTAGTAGAAGGAAGCCTCAAGCTAAAGATCCTCTACAGTTAGTATAAATTAACTTTTAAAGAAACATAAGACATGAATTTTACTAATAATTTAATTATTTTTATAGTCCAATAAAAGCTGATTTTATTAAAGCAAAACATCAACATTTGACGTTCATATTACGTCCAAGTAAAGAAGAATGTTGTAATGAGGAGGAATTAAGTAAACAATTACATAGTAGTGTTCGTACAAGTAATTTAGAAACTTCTTTAAGATTACTTGCACAAGGTGCTAATCCAAATTATTTTTACAAGGTAGTTTCAAATAGATTATTATTATACAACTCAATAGTGCAAAAATATCGTACAATATTTGATTTCACAGGAAAAAGGTACAACACCTTTACATGTTGCTGCTAGAGCAGGTCAAGCTTTGCAAGTGGAGCTTTTAATAGCTAATGGTGGTAATCCTAGCATAATTGATTTAAATGGGCAAACACCTGCTGAAATTGCCAAGTAACAATACCAGTTTTATATTGTATATGGAGAAATATTATGTACATATAATGATTACATTTTTTGTGTTTAGGATGGCAGGACATATAGACTTATCGGATCGTATAATAGAATGCTTGTATGAATTAACAGATAGACTAACATCTTTTATATGTTCACGTAAACCAAATCATAGATTGAATGAACATATAATTATTCCTGAATGCACATTACAGAATGATCTATGTTTTGAAGGAAGGAATAAGTTACAAATGGTAAATTTAAACTTTATTAGAATATGAACTATATTATATAACTGCTTTTTTTTAGTTATCAAATCATTTGTTAGAAGAATTGGCAATGGATGTTTATGATGAAGTAGATCGTCGAGAAAATGAAGAAAGTAAGGATATGATTGCATTGTATAAATAGTTATTTTAAAAAATGAATAGATTAGCATCTGAAAGCAATTCTATATCATTCGTAATTGATAAATTTAATATGTAACTTTATAGTAATACATGAATATCTATCCATATATACACTGAATAATATAATTGAATAATTGTTTTTATTGAAATTAAGATAATGTATATGTAACATAAAACAAAAATATTACATTAATCCATTCTTTTTTATATATTGTACTATTAATATGCATGCTTTTTTTTATTGCATCATTTTAAAGGAGAGGTGAGTTGAATTAAACATTTTTTCAATAATACCTTGTAATTTTAAGTTGTGGTATGTAAATTTTAATATATGCACGATTTGAATAATAAAATAATTTTTATAAACATATATTCTAATATTGCTAATTAATGGTATTAATTAATTTTTATTTTACGTTTCTTAAATAGTTTGGTTTACAACTGCATCTTTACCAGAAAAATGTACAGTGCCTTTTCTACCAGTCAATCCACAACTATCATCAACAAGAAATCAAGGCAGACAAAAATTAGCAAGATTTACACCAAAGGAATTTGCTACGCTTATTATAGATGTTCTTATCGAGGCTCGTAGAAGACATATGCTTGCAAATAATGCACCACTGCAAGGTTTGTACAAAAATGTATAAATTGATTTCTTTTAATTTATCTGTTATATTAACAAGTATGGTATTTCTAGATCCAGCTGTTTCTATACTTCATAAAGAGCAACACGGAAAATATGGATCACAAATGTCTGATGATGAACCATTATATGATAGTGTTGCTTCTGATGATGATTACGCATTGACATCATCTGACAATCCAGTGCCTGAATACTCTACACAATTTAAAATGGATAACGAGGTACATATTAAATTATTTTAATATAAAATTAAAAGAATTTTCATAAATATAGAAATTTTGCAATAAGATATAAAAAAGATGGACGATAAATTATTTGTCAAAAATAGATAAAATTATATGGTAACGTATTGAAGGTACCAGCTCTAGTAACGAAAAGAAGAATAAGGAATCGGCTAAGTACATGGCTCTTCTGTAGACAGTGCTATTAGGCAAGTGCATAGGTCTGTTAGTGCATGTGCAGCCTTTGCCAGAGAGTGCTTGTTGCACCTTTCATAATACATAGTTCACTAAAATTTATAACATGGATATATTGATTATGTGTTTTGTTCTGTAACAATCATATAATGTAATTTCTAAAAAAATTTAAAATTTTTCTCATTATATAAAAGTGAAAGTTCATTGTGTATGTTAAAATACTATTACAGGAAGCTTTTGCGCCATTAGCCAAGGGACTTCCATCTTTTGTAGAAGTTTTGAAAAAACAATTAACTCTCTCTGAATCTACTGTTAGAGATCTCCGAGAACAAATTCGTACTTTACAGAGTACCGTAGAACAGTTAACACAGGAGAATAATGAACTAAAACAAATGATTCATGTAAGACAAATATTTATTATCTTTATAATATATTGTGAATTAAAATCTAATGTACAAAAAATATAGGTGAAAGGATCTACTGATGGAGTTATTAATGGTCATGTTAGTGGAGAACAAGAACCAGAATTAGAACCAGTGCATGATATAAAAATATCTCTTAATAGAAGCAACCAGCGACCTGCGTCTATGTATGAAACACGAGAAGGTTTACGAAAACCAAATTCGTGGTCGACATCTATTTGTCAGGTATTAATTTTCATGATAAATATTTTGACTTATGTTTATCAATTTTATTGCATAAGATTTGATTCATACAGTCAAAACGAGATTCAGAGACAATGTCGCGCAGTAACACTCAAAGTTTATGGGAATGCGGTGCTCCCAATCTTCCGCCGAGTGAGGAAGTTACACGAAGAACTGAACAAGTTACAAGAAGAATTCAGGAATTATGGATGGCCATGCAAGATCCAAAACAACGAGAAGCTTTTGTACCTTGTGCAGAAAGAATTCGTGTTGCCGTTGCTGAACTCACAGCTATATTTCCGCAAGTAAGACGTGCGTTTTCCTTTTAAACGTAAATATAAATTTTTATATTAAACATATTTAAATTATATTGTAGAATCCTATTGAGGAAAACATCAGATCTGCTCTGCGACAATTAAATGGTAATACAGGTAGACTTCAAGCAGAATGTTCTGGTCTTCAGAGATGTACTAGTGATATAGAACATATGGACAGATGCCTTCAGCAAGTACGTTCATGTGCTTACGACATTGCCAAAGCAACAAAACTTCTTGTTACTCAATTTCAGACGTAACAGATCAAAGGCAAAGTATTACAATTTAAATAATTTTTCTATATTTAATGTATATAAATTGTACATATGCTTAATGTCGTAATACTCAAAATCATCACAAATTTATATATTTAATAAGTATTCGTTTTATATTACATAACAATAATTTGTTGTCTAATATTCTTATTTTTATTATAATGTAAATAATGAGTAAATTTTAACGCATGAATATTCTTATAGTTTGTTAAAACATATATATATATATATAACATGACATGTTTCAAGATTCAATATAATATTGCCGTAATTTTTAATATATCATAAAGACTGAACAGCCACAAACCAATGAATTTTATTAATACGCAATTTAAGTTTCTATACTTGGTTTTATAAATGTATTTTTTGCTCATATAAGCTGGTATATAAGAATAATTACAAAATTTAATGCATTCATATAATTGAACAAGTATTAAGTGTGATATAAAAAGATTTAAATTCTTATGATGCTATTGTTAAAACCTGGTAAACATTTCATGCACTTTTGATAAAATTTATTTTGCCGTATAAATAAATATTATAAATAATAATAATAATTTACCACAATTTAGAAATTAATTAATAAAAGTATAATTTTTATTAACATATATATCATATATATAACATATATCACATATATAACATATATATCATATTTATAAATAATTTATTTTGTATATCCAAATTTTATATATTTTATTATGTGTATAAAAAAGCCAGCTTATATTAAAGCGTTACAAATAAGTGAGAATTTTATCGCCAGTAAAAAGAATGTTTCTTCTTATTATTAGTATTAATAATATGATCGTATATAAAGTGAAAGTTTATAGTTTATATGATAATGAGTGAAAATTGGTGTTGATGATGCATTAATTTTATTTGAGATATTTCCATCAAGAATTGCTTTTACTGTAATATTAGGAATATATGTTTAATAGTTAAATAAAATTTAAATATGTTATTGTTGATACTTACAGACTACATTGATATATTTACTGGCAAATACAATTATTAAAATAAAATCGTCTTTAAATACTTTTATCTGTCCAAAAACTAATATTTTTTACTTGCATTAAAGTTAATATCTGCTGTGTAATGATAGTTTAAAATGCATGAAATATTATTTCTTATAATATTTTGTATTAATTTGATGTCAAAATATTCATTTGATGTGATTCAAACAATTTTATTTTTAATATTTTAAATATATCAAATTATTTAATGTTTTAAATATATTCGCGAAAATGGTTATGCTTTATTTGCGATTGTACAATATATTATAATTTACATAAATGATAATGCTTTTTCTTTTCAATTTTATATCTTTTTTTATATTTTAATTTCAATAAAAAATATTGGCTTGAATAACTATTACTTCTTAATATGAATATTTTTCATGGAAATAATTATAAAATATAAGTTTTTAACGATCATATACAGCTTTCAATGATATTAAATTTTAAACAATAAAAATTATATTTGGTCAATTATTGTCATATTGTAGAGGATAAGTTAGATAAATCATTGTATTAAAGAAAAAGTAGAAATATGGTGAAAATCGACCTTAAGGAAGTAATTGTCTAGTGAATTTTGTAGACCAATGATTCACAAGCGTTTTCGCGCTATCTGTTATGAATTCTTCGACGGATGATACAAAAACACGTGTTCTTTACACTTTAGCTGAGTAAGTTTTAGATAGTTCATGTGAATTTAAGCAGATTCCGACGGGGAGTTAAAGGAAAGTGAACAGACGTGAAAGGAGAATAGTTTTAAGTAAGTTAATCGGTAAAATAGGAAAGTTTATGTGGATGATTGAAGGGAAAGTAGTGAAGCAGGAGAGCGGCCATTTTATGTTAGTATGACGTAGAGGCTGGGTGTAGCTTCGCGTTGAACCGTCCGTGTTCTTCAGAAAAGGCGAGAAAATCTGAATTCTGATGCTGGGGTCGAGGTAAATGCTCGTACCACGCACTGAACGTGTGAATTGTAAATTAAGTCGAAGGGAAGTAAGAAAATTAGTTAAATAAGGCAGAACTGGGGTTTTGAAAGAACGAGCATGAGCGAAGAAAGCAATCCGCGAACGCTCTATGTGGGAAATCTAGACTCTTCGGTGTCGGAGGAACTATTGTGTGCACTTTTCTCACAAATAGGTGCAGTTAAAGGATGCAAAATTATACGAGAACCAGGGAACGATCCATATGCGTTCGTCGAATTTACAAATCATCAATGCGCGGCTACAGCGCTAGCCGCCATGAACAAACGATCCTTCCTGAATAAGGAAATGAAGGTTAACTGGGCAACGAGCCCTGGAAATCAGCCGAAGTTGGATACGAGTAATCATCATCACATATTTGTCGGCGACCTGTCGCCAGAAATTGAAACACAAACTTTAAAAGAAGCGTTTGCACCTTTCGGCGAAATTAGCAATTGTAGAATTGTACGCGATCCACAAACCATGAAAAGTAAAGGATATGCTTTTGTATCATTTGTGAAAAAGTCTGAAGCTGAGGCAGCGATAGCAGCTATGAATGGTCAGTGGCTTGGATCCAGAAGCATCAGGACAAATTGGTCAACTAGGAAACCACCGCCACCAAGATCCGAAAGGCCACGGCATTCAAATAATAGTAAACCTAACTATGAAGAGGTATGTTTTGAAATTTCAATGTATGAAGCCTAGCAAATTCATTGTTTCTGTGTTTAATTAAATCAATTAATGGTGTTTTACTTCCTAATTCATGTATTATTATTGTTAATAGGTGTATAACCAAAGTAGTCCAACTAATTGCACAGTGTACTGTGGAGGTTTTACAAATGGAATTACAGATGACCTGATAACCAAAACATTTTCTCCCTTTGGTACCATACAAGATATAAGAGTATTTAAGGATAAAGGATACGCTTTCATAAAATTTACTACTAAGGAAGCTGCAACACATGCCATAGAATCAACACATAATACAGAAATTAATGGTAGCATTGTTAAATGTTTTTGGGGAAAAGAAAATGGTGATCCCAACAGCGTGGGTCCAAATGCAAATCACCAAGCTCAACAGGTTATTATGATGCATATATTTTTTATTCTGGATATATTCTGCCTTTAGCATATTAAAAAAGTAATAAATGTAAAGATATATATATATTCTCTTTTGTTCATTAGGTTACAGCTGGAGCTGGACAATATGCATATGGATACGGTCAACAAATGAGTTATTGGTATCCTCAAGGATATCCACAAATGCAAGGCCAGTTTTTACAGCCTGCTCAGTACTATGGTCAATATTATGGACAACAGGCTCAATATATGAATAGCATGCGAATGCCAGCTCCTGGTGCAGGTACATGGCAACCTGCACAAGCGACCGCCGCCCCACCGACCGCAACTGCACCATTGCCACCAGGTCAGCAACCTGCAATGGTAACATATACTATGCCACAATACCCCACGCAATGAAATTGATCATTGATCAACATCAACTAATTGTTACATATGGTACATTTGCCCCTGGGGTGTTTGCAAATTTGTTCTGTCATATACCTATTCGAACAAGTTCATTGGTATTTCGACTGCAACATGTACAAATTTTCGAGTTTTGCTTCAATTGAAGTACCATACATGATAAAAAAGAGCTCTTAAATTTAATTGTAATCTTGACTGATATTTAATTAATATTTCAAAAGACTTACCACAAAAAATTCAAAGTGTTATATATATGAAGATATGTATACTTTCGCACGTTTACATTTTCCTTGTACGTTTCTCTTGCCAAACGATAAAAACATATTGTAATAAATGCAAGTTCATTGGAAAAAGAAAATATATCATAAGCAGTCAATCCATCAGTGTAATATAATAATCTTTTCAAAATGGTTTGTATTTTAATGTTGTTGAATAAGGTATATTTCTGAACTTAAAATTGCAGCCCCTTGATGAGCCCTGCATTCGTTGTGCTGCGTAAGGTGTACGTATGTATGCGAACATTGCGTTGTTATATTTTTAATATTTTTGCCACCATTACCAATCTTTAGTTTATTTCAAATCATTAATGAACAGAGATAAATGTTCATTTATGGTAAACACAAAGTACGACATTGAACATAGTATAAGATAGGAAGTATAGGTAGACACGGCGCCTGTGATGTAGCTAGATTTGGATGCATGCTTTGACGTATGCAGGGCCCTATTAAAATAAAATATGCGATAAACGAGTTATAAACTTTCCTCGTTTTGTGATATTTATCGTCGGTGGTAAATGTACAAAAAACAGTCTTATAAACAATTTTAAGAAGATATTCCTGGAAGTGTCAAAAATTAAATATTTTATGCCGAATTTGACTTAATTGAATACACTTTATTATACTACTTAGTGACTCCTCTCCATTTGTACAAAAGAAATAGTGAATCTTGGTGTAATTATTAAAATGTAATTTAAGTATAATAATAATAATGATAAACACTTCCACTAAGAGTTGGAGTCACTACTATTTTTCCTTCATTAATTTATATATCAAGTTGAAATTATGTTCCTTTGAACATGTAAAATATCAGTTTTTCTCTTAAAATAATCAGTATATCAATTGACAATCACATTTGATATTATCTGATATTTTGATGTTATTGTAATTCGTCGCGTGGCACGATGCCTTCGTGTCTTCCAATTATTATACAAGTGAAAATTATTGTATATCTTCGATTTTCAATATAATTAATTCTCTATATATATATATATATATATTTTTTTTTTTTTAAATTTATCACTTTCATCCTTCAAAATTGATTTTTCAGAATTCACTGATTTCACTAAGTTAATATATTAACAGTAAAAAAATTAGAGCGAGGAGTTAGAGTAAAACTTGTCGATACTTCGCTTCACCACCGACGATAAAAAGCCATAAATCTTTGAAAACCAATTTGTATAAAGTCAGTACTGAATGTAATAACAGGAGAAACATAATGTCAAATATAGCAATGATTAATTGACTGCGATAAGTGATATCGAACTATGAGAAGCCAAGAAAAAAAAACTTGTCTATGGATTAATAATAATCACTGAATGGATGGAAGACATTAAAAAAATGTTATATGAAAAGTAATTTAGGTACAGCAGGGTGCGAAACCCTCGAAAATGCTTAGGATAATGTTATCTTATAATAAAAACAAATTGTCCTTTGAATGAAAAAAAGGAATAAATATTTAAAATACACAATATTTTGTATTATTTCATAGCCCACGTTATTATAAAATATAAAGTTATGAAATAATATCAAAAGTAATTTTTTAAATTTATAAGAAACGTAGTACCTTCGTTTATAACTGGTTAAATGTAAAAATAATATAATAAGTTTTTTAAGTACATACAAGGTAATTTTATTTTACAGCCGACATACTTTTACAATAATCGTTTACGTTATCCGAACAATTTTTTTGCAATCTCGTCAAGCACTTAAAATACTTGATAGTTTATGTAGAAAATATAATTCTGACTGACTTTTTGACACAATAAAATTTAACGTTAAGTACAATGTTTGCGATTTATTGAAGAAAGTAACTATTTCTGTATAAAAAAAGAGCATCAACATGTTCAATTTAACACGAAAAACATTACGCTAGTTATACTATTATTATTACATAAAACCAAATTTCGCGAATATTATAGTAGTGTCAAGTTAGAATATTTTAGTACTATAATCAAAAATAATAATTCAGCAGAATTGTGAATAATTTAATTCATTTTCATTTTGATATGAAAATTGCGAGCATTCCTTTTTTTAAATGAAATGCGCTAGAATAATTTGTACTGTACACTTTATTACACACAATACATGCGTTCCTTGATCTCGATCACACAGCGGCAAAATACTAAGTAGGATATTTTTGTACAATAAGTGACACTATACTATTCAGTTACATTCAAAAATTACTATTTAATTGCATGATGTCACTGAGTATATCAACGTTAATTAAATATGTATTTGTTAATTGTTTCATCAAGCGAAGAATGCTACGATATAATATATTAAAAGGAGGAGTTGCTCAACGAAAATTTTAGTTTGCAATCTACAATTATAATATCTGTCACCTTGTTCGACATACTTTTTTACATAATTTATAATATTGTTGAAAAATATAGATTTGGCATTTAATCAAAAATGAAAAATGAAAAAAAAATCTATGAAGAACACATCATTCACGAAATAAAAATAAGTTTTACAATTTTCATGTTACGTTTTATCAAATCAATTACTACTTATTTTGCTAATAATTATTATCTTTTTAGTAAAATTGCACATTAACGCATATTAAAAGTGGATATGAATTTTTTAAAATCAATTTTACGCTGTTATCAAAATATGTAACATTGAAAAATGGGGGGTTGGAATTTACAATTAGGAAAACTTACATAATTCGTGCAACCGTACGCAATTCACATTTTAATCCACATTTGATTATTTTTACGTAGCAATAATTAATATTAGCATTATTATTTTGCTTATATTCTTAAGAAATTTCCTATTACAAGATTTTATAAAAGTAGCAAAATAACTTAATCAAGGCTGAGCGTGTTTTTAACATGGAAGGCCAGGGTTGTAAATAGAGATATGCCCATATTGATAACAGTCTGTTGTGCAAGATGATCGATAAAATTCGGGCAAAAATATTTTACTTATGCTTACCATAAATTATTTAATGGAAAAAAAAAAAGAAAAATACTTTACATATGGCCAAAACTTTAAAATACAGTTCATACTGCCGCAACATAAACAGCTTAAACATTAACTTAACATTTAGTCCATAATTTTTTCAAACAAAATTAATCACATATCGCATTCTGTAATACATATACTAAACTTAATACATTTATATACTAATCAATGCTGAGATTGAACTTTGGCATTATTTATGTTGTCAGTTATGTTCGCATGTTCAATAGAAAGAAGTGCGCAACTTTGCGCAAGTGTAAATTTATACTTTTTACAGCTACTACCATTTTTCTATGAGTGCATCGGTCATAACTAATGTTAAAAATTCTAACAAATGAAACAAACAATCATTTTTTCATTACATGACAAAAATAAAATAAAAATTTCAATCCTTATGTTAAATATGCTACGCATGGATTATACTATACTATAAGTCAGTATTAACTACTGATTATACAAGAGAAGCTTCGAACTCGTTGCATTATCAATGGAAAAAATTGTAACGAATTACTACATGAAGAAATAATCATTCCACGCTTCTCTTATGAAGAAATATACATTGAGCAAAATTAATAATTATTATTAACTAATAACTTCAAACTGAAACAGTATTAATATCGAAGCTTAATATTACAGTTTTGCAAAATGTGGTTTTAAATCAGTGATTATATTGTACAAGCATAATCACTTTTTATTTGAGCATTTGAAGCAGTAGATGAATATCAAAAACTTTCATATATGCAACTTCCTCTTGTAGCATACTTTTATTATAACATTAACTTTTTTACCGATATTCACTTATAAATAATAAATATTTTTAATTTTTCAAAGTTCAAATATATAATTCCAGTTCGTTGTTTCATAGAAATCTCATCAAATTAGGAATTGATATATAATTTGACAAGCATGATACCTCCTATTCAGAGATCTTAATTATATAACTTTATTTTAACAATCAATTTCTATTCAATGTCAAACGAATATTTGAAATGTTACCAAACATAACAAGAATAATATTTGCGATACTTCCCCCGAATATGTTATACAGTGTGCAATTGTCATTTTTACAAAATTCACGTGCCCACAACGATTCTACTTGCATACTTCACTTTTAGCACATGCTTGTACAAGACCAAGATATTCATTTATTTTTTAGCTTATTTGACAACATTTGTGTATACCCAATTACAATAATTGTTTTATTATCTGACTGGACGTGAGTTGTTTCATATGCAAATATAGTCTTCCTATTAATATTATTCAAATCAATTGTGCTTGAATAGTAATTAAATATTTACACTATAAAATGCATATTGTTACAATTATATCCTTTATATTGTTAGAATAATTTATACTAAACTCATTAACCCATAACAAGAAAATGAATAATTAATTATAATTTAATAAAATTGAAGTTCACGGTTTGCTTAAATGTAAAATAAAAAAGTTACAAAAATCTATATAGATCATACAACTACAAACATTGGAATTCTAATATCAACATGTTTAGAGTGAAACTTAAATCTATGATACCTGATTACTGGATGGAGTATAGAATGTATCCATATATATAGTATAATTAATATTACAGTGTTGCTGCTGTAATATGATTTAAAAAACTGTACTTAGCAAGAGTGCTTTTTGCAATATCATAATTTTCTTTTTATATATAGATGTCATTTATAAATTAGCTTAGAAAATGTAAAAGCTGCTATATTTACATTCTGTAATAATATCGCAGAAAATCGCTTTTATTGTATTTTCCGTCATTAAGATTTTTTTCTTGTTTTTTTGTTGGAATGTGCCGAAATTTTAGTGTAACTTTTGTAGCATACATCAAAGAATCATAGACTTACGTCACCATATTCGAAGCTCCACTTTTCATAAGCTGCCAAACTTGCAGGTGACACTGATCTACGAATTCTTTTAAGCGAATCACGAAAATCTTGCATTGTAATATTGCGAACGGAATTAAGATCCAATTCCTTTACTTGATCTGGATTAAGTTCTGTATAATATCAATATATCTTTTTTTTACAAACTTCACAATATTTTTTTATAAATAATTAATAATAATTAATTTATTTATTAGAGACTGTCTGGTCAAAATCTTATGTATCCATTCAGTCCATTTTAAACAAGGACACAACAGAAAATGTGTGATAGAAATTTTGCTTTACCTCTAATGGGACCAAGTGCTGCATCTTTTGCTAAACCTGTTAAATCACTTCCAGAATAGCCCTCAGTTAAAATTGCCATTTCATTTAGCTCTTCCGGTGTTAAAGGATCATTATGTTTAGCTAAAAGTCGTTTTAGTAACAAAATCCTTGTTCGCAAATCTGGCAATGTAACATATACTCGTTTTGTGAATCTCCGTAATGCAGCTTCATCTAATTCTTGAGGTCTATTTGTGGCAGCCATAACTAACACTCTTTCTTCTGGATTAGACGGCAAACCATCAAATTCGACCAAAAATTCTGTCTTTAATCGCCTAAGTAATAATTACTAATTAGATAAATATTAATTATTTTACATAATCAAAGTTTAAATAAATCTACCGTGAAGCTTCATGTTCATTATCTCTACGTTCGCTTAACAATGAATCCACTTCGTCAACAAAGATCACAGATGGCTGTAATTCTCGTGCTATAGCAAAAAGAGCTCGTACTAATTTTTCTCCTTCTCCAACATATTTCGATGTAAGACTAGCAGCAGATATTGAAAAAAATGTAGCATTGCATTGAGTAGCCACAGCACGTGCAAGTAATGTTTTTCCATTTCCAGGTGGACCAAATAATAATAATCCTCTCGCTGGCGTTCGCAAGCCAGTAAATAATTCTGGCCTTAATGAAGGCAAGATGACTATTTCTTGTAATGCTTGCTTTGCAGTCTGTTTTATAAAAGAATACAAAATTATAAATTTATATACATCCCTTATTATTTAACAATATATATGACAATAGCTACAGACTTCTTGACCAGCAATGTCCTCCCAATGTACTGCTGTTCCTCCTTCCAAAATTTCATCTAAAATTACTTGTGCAAGTTTTGGATCTACCCCTTTTAAAATAGGTACTTTTCTTGTAGGTGTTCCTCTATTACTATTTGATGTCGTAGGTGTTCCTGGTCTTCTAATAGGTGAGCCATTTCCAGGTACTGATAATTGTCTTTTTACAGAAGGTGGTGTAGATGATGGTTTAATAGGTGTAACTCTATGACAAGACTGTACTGGTGTTGAACGTCCCATGCTGCGTGGTAATGTTTGACTTTTGCTTATAGCTGTGCCCACTCTTTTTCCAGGAACAGATAATTTTCTTCCAGATGCTACAAAAACATAAAATAAGACTCAAACAATACATACAGAAAAATAAAACTATTAGTATTTTTGAATCTTTGTTAACTCTAATATATAGAACTATTGGAAAAAATAAAATACAAGACAAACTTTTTGCAATAAAAGAAGTAACTGTTAATATAATTTCAATTAATATGAAAAGAATGAAATATATTCATCAAAATAGTATGCATGTGATATAATTAAAATATGCTTGTAATATATATGTAATATATGATTAAAATATTAAGAGCATACATTACATTGTTAGTATTTCATATATATAGTTTTTAACATTTTATTGTTAAAAATATAGTATATATAATGATATTTAAATACTAGTTGTGAGATAAAATAAATACAAAAATATTTTCCAGAATACAATGTAATAAATATTTTATGAACTATTTTAATATGTTTTTTAAAAGAAACTTTCAATGTTTATACAAAGCATACATTCATGCACATAAACTAATTTTTCTTCTTAATTCATTATTTTATATATATGTACATATGCACACAGTATAATATATGTATATATATGTAGTTTTTTTATACATACTTACGTATGAATAATTCTACATTTTTTAATTACTTATTAAAATAATTATTGCATCACTAATTTGTGGCAAAACTACATTGATACTAAAAAATAATATAATAACATGCTTGCATTTACTATTCATTGCATTACATCAAAAACTAATAGTAAATGTATGTGTTAATAATGAAATAGAAACAGTAGTTTTAGAGAAGCAGTTAAGAAAGTTACATTCTGCATTGAAAGCGCAAAACTTCAGACAAACAGTACCTTCAGAATGGGCAGAATAGTTTTTTGGTGAACGTGGCCTTAACTTGGGAATTTGGGTACATGTATTCTGCCCTATGTTCACTGTTTGTGTACTGTTTGTGTTTTTAATATGAGTTGTGTTTAAAGAAGATCGAGTTGTTTGTAATGTGTGTATATTACGTCGGACCCTCAGATTCTTTTCTGGATGTTCGTTGTCCATTTTATTTCCAGGAGCACGATATTCATTGCAGATATCCAGGTTTTTCAGCTCACACACACTCACTACAAAAAGGAAAAACATTCTCTGCCATGCTGCAGTAGGCTAAATAGCTAAGTACAGTTTGAACTCAGAAATTTTGTCAACTTTTGTCCAAATTGTAAATTGGGACTTAGATATGACTATAAACTAGGTTTGAAACTTGATTTGAAATAAATGCTCAGATGGTTGAAATGCTACTAATTTGTACACAAAAATTTGCGTCGCTTATGAAAAAGAATATTGTGCTAAAAATGAAACCATTGAAAAAAGGGATAACGCGCGCATGCATACACGCACGAATACATTCACGCATATATACTTTCACCCATGGATACACACACACGCGTGAACAATATAGAACAATTAACACATGAACATGCTAAATACATAAATTGTGTTACTCTTAAGCTGTACCGTAGCTTTATATAAGAATAATTTATAATTAAATTTATAAAAAAAGTTTATACACAAGTGATTTTGTGGTACGGTTCTATTACTGTGACTGGGACAGCTTAAGAAATGTGCCATCTATTTAAAATATTTGTTTACAAACCAAGAAAGTCAAGTCTATCCTTTGCCATTGCCAAATTAGTGCGCATTTTATCATGAAGTCTTTGTGCATGTTCCCATACTTCCCCTCGACCACCATTGCATTCTATAGCTATTCCTTTCTCCAGTTCTCCAATTCCCTTCTTATAAAGTTCAATTGCCATTTCTTTTTGACCTGAAAATTAGTATTGGAAATGAAATATTTAAGACAAACTATATCATATAAGAAATAGTATAAAACATAATTAGAAATACCTTCATTATCCTCATCAATCTTAAGTGCTTTACTAATGAATTCAAAAGCTCTACGGTGATGATGTTTTTGTTTTGCAAGTAACGGATCTCCAGGGCCAGGGCCGATTGGCCTTCTAGGCACTTGCGACATTCCCTCGCTTTCAGTTTGTCCAGTATTGTTTAAATTGTTATTTAAATTTTCACTAGACTTTTGGCCAACTACAATCTCCAGCTGGCAGGTTTGCTTGCAAGCTTGTCTTCGTTGAATCAGCTGAGATGTAGATGTATATAAGTACTTAAATACCACAAACAACTGATAAAGAAGTGTCCTCAGAACATTGAACAGCAGTATCAAAGGAAAAGAAACAATATAGAGATTACGTTTGTGCACTGACGGCTGAGGGGTATCGAGAAAGCGATGATTATGATGGTAATGATTATGATGATGATTATTGCAGTTGATGGTAGTTGTTGTTTTATCGCTATTTTCGTTCTTAGTCACGCATAGCTTTTTCGGCGACTTGGTGCCGTACTTTCGTATTGGACGCCCGCCATCACTGTAAGACATTTCCTATCGCAAATTTTTGAATTCGTATGGTACAAAGTACGCACTTATTATCGCCAAGTACAAGCCGAGCTAAACATTCTGACATTCCCAATATCGTACAGATATTGAAAATGAGAAGCGATTTTCAATTTGTTTTAGATTATCTTTTTTATAAAGCATCTCGGAAGCTCAACAACCTAAATCTTTCTGGAAACAATTGCTTGGTTCGAAACGGTAGCTGTTTTCACTGAGGCGCAAGATAAAAGAAAAGAATAATAAGGTTCAGAATTTCGAAACGTTTGAAATTGACAAATCATGAACGAAACAGAATAACTCGTGGTATTCTTCAGCATCGCTCGTTCCAACTCACATTTAACTTGGAACATCAACGTATAACATGGATTTGCAAACATCAACAACAAATGTTGTTTTACAAAATCGTGTATACAAAAATATATACATAGAGAAACTTATATTACATGCACTTTAGTATTTACTTCATTTAGTATATGTTCTACGCAAGATAGATTTACTTTACGCACCTGCGCTCTTTTTCATATTCCTTTGCACATGCGTATATTTGGATATCCTTAATATCCTGCTCATAAAATTCCAAATTCTGTATACGTTTTATATTTTTTGTTTACTTCGTTATTTTATTTTCAAAGGATTAGGATTTGTCAAACGATTAAACACTAGATTTTTTTCGATTCTGTATCATACGCGTTGGCAATAGAGCTCTCTTACCATTTTAACGCTCTGACGTTAAAGTAAAATAAGGTTACAGTATATGTGTATTAATTTTTAAATCAAAATACAAATATCGTATTATATGATCGCCCAAATCTTATCACTAAGTTACTATTTTAAACAACAGGTTCCATTTTCTCAAAAAGGAAAATTTACTCATTTTAAAAAACGTTCTCCTTTTTCTGTACAATGATAGATCTACTCTATCTTTGGTTAATGGTTTATATATGTTTATATATATATATATATATATTTTTTTTTGTATTTCCCGGTATAATTTATTATTGATTGACGATAAAGTAATTTGTCAGTTTATCGGCTGTGTCACATGGTAGTTCATATGCTTTTTACAGAGGGCCTCTCTTAATATTCTGCCGCCATTTTCTTCATCAGTTCTGCGTTTTACATTCCAGAGATTGTATCGAAGCAAAATGTCGTCCGCAAGTGGTGATGAAAGTGAGATATCTTTAAACGAACCCGGTAAGATGATATTTTTGAAAGAAACCGTGTCCAACATGGTACAATATCGATATTTATTTATATTTACATACAATTAGATAAAACGAAACAAAAATATTAATACACCCGGCAGCTGAGCAAAGACCTGCGAACCGCCATTAAACGAATGGCGTCTCGCACACGCATCTAACGTAAATATTTCATTCAAATTTTGCATTTTTTTTTGTATTTTCATTCCTTTCAGTGCGACGCACAAGATCTAGCCGTACACGTAAGACTACCATAGTAGCTAAAAAATCTCCTGTAAAGAAACTTCTAGCAAGGGCAACACGATCTCCGAAAAAAGTGCAAGAAATCGAAGAGGTCGAGGTGCGTAAATTCCATAATACTATAGATAGTTCTCGTAATCGTCAGTGTGCGTAATCGGAGTTTTGTTCAATAGATGTAACCATTGTTGTAATTTTTCAGGAGGAGGAGCCCGTATTGCAAGAAGAGGTTGTAATGGAAAGCATTCCAGAAAATGGAGTGCAGAGATTTGGTGACATTATTATCGAACAACATAGTGAGGACGATGCCCCTATGTTACATTTGGAATTGGAAGATTCTGATGATACCACTATTCATGAAATCAACATGAATCAGAGTGTACAAATTGGAGTTCAAGAGACTGTACCTGATTTGGAAACGTCCGCATCTCAAATTGTAAATGATGATATACAATACTTCGCTACTTTTAAGCTTAATATGTTGTCCCTTCGAAAGATTATATTGTGAGATTATATTCTGTATTTCAGGATCATTCAAATACAGTATCGGATTGTATGATCATAGAAGAAAGTAGTATGGATAAAGTTGATATGTTAAACGAGCGTGAGCAAATGGATATGGAAGGGCAGGATATTAGTAATGATGAAACGAACCAACGTGTATTGATAGATTTCCAAGAAGTTATGAATGACGATGGAGAAACAATAACACAAGTAACAGAAATCTTAGAAACCGAAGAAATTGAATCTGAAACTGTTATAAATGAAGGTACTGGAATTGAAGTTATGGAAGTAGATTGTCAACAAGAAACAGAAATCATAGAAAATATTACAGAAAAAATTGTGCCTGGTTATGATATGACAGGAATGACGGAAATGACAGAAACAACAGAGGGTGACATGGAATTACCTGAGAATGCTATTAAAAAGACAGAACCGGATACAGAGGCTGTGTCTGAAGATGAGCTGCCTACTGAGGCTACAGCAAAGGTATTTTGTTATCAAAATAGTAAAAAATAAACTTACGTTTTTGTACTACATCATACACTCATATGCATGCGGTTTATAATGCATTATTATAAATATGTAGGAACCTGAAACAGAAGCAGTATCTGATGAAGAATTGCCAGCAGCGGCTCCCGCAGATTTAGGAGAAACTGAATCAGTTTCTGAAGATGAACTACCACTGGATAGTGAAAAGAAGAAGAAAAGTGGAACAAAGGTAATGAGTAAAATCCTGGAAAAGAAGAACAAAACTGAAGGAATAAGTAAGTGTAAAGGAGAAAACGTTAATTTAATAACGTTTAATAATGTTAACATTAGATCTTTGACAGATAAATGTAAGTTTATTTTTACAGATAAGCGTAAGTTGAATGCAGAAGGAGAATATGATCCTAGTTCACCAACGTCTGAAAACAATGACGAAACGCCAGCAAAAAAGGTTGCACTTTCAACGGAAGTAGATCCAGGGGACAGTAAGCAAGAAACTAAACCAGCATCGCCAAAGAAAAAAACGTTACCAGAATTGGAGAAATATTGGAAAGCCGTTAATGAAGATCCATCGGATTTCACAGGATGGACATATCTTCTCCAATACGTTGATCAAGAAGTAAGCAAAGAATATTCTAAAAATTATACTGAATATACATGATATTTGTTTTTCGCGTAGAATGATGCTGAAGCTGCACGTGAAGCTTATACGAAATTTTTGGAGCGTTATCCATATTGCTATGGTTACTGGAGAAAATTTGCAGATTACGAGAAGAAGAAGGGGAACCCCGAAAATGTCCAAAGGGTGAGTCAACTCGTTTACCATATTTATTAGGTCTACTTCTCATTATGATATCATTTAATTAACGCAATCTAATGAAAATAGCTCGAGTTAGGAAGACGCGTGGGCAGTGTGCACGCACGTAAATATGGTTTTCCCTTCCAACAGCCTAGCACGTCTTGCGGCACCTATACGACTCTCTCCGTTTACCAAATAGCTAGTTACTTAATTATTCTGCGATATCTACAATATTATTGCGTATATTAATGTTTTACTTATACCGTTATATCAATATTCTACGTATGATACGTAAGTCAAGCGAAGGTTGTTTCAATTTGCGATATTACCGTGCAAGAAATTGTGTGTAATATTTACTGTAAGCATTTGTACACATAGCTTACTACAGAAAGTATTGTAACTTAAGCATAAGATGCGGTACCTTACTTAATGTAAGTAAGATTGGGTTGGGTGTTAAATCAAAGTCAGAAACAAAGACTTAGGACGTGAACATGCCAGAGAGGGAGCAAGAAAAAGTGGCGGAAGACACAGAGGCACCCAGATTGGAACACTCCTTGACTTTAAGGTGAATGCACAATGCTCTGCAATCTCTGTGTTAATTAAACTTCTTTATTTACAGTATGCGTATGATATGTGAGTATACGTTGCTAAAAACCGTAATGCTTATCGAAAGCTAAAAAAAAAAAACAAAAAACAAAAAAGAAATAGGTATAAGTCTACCCACCACCAGCCCAATCATTTATAAATCGTTCTAAATGTGATTGCAAACCATTACTACAGGTATTCGATCAAGGTCTGAAAGCTATTTCACTCAGTGTCGATCTTTGGCTTCATTACATCAACCACTGCAAAACCGTCTATGAAAAAGATGAAGAGAAACTTCGAGAACAATACGAAAGAGCTATCCAGGCATGTGGTCTTGAATTCAGGTACGAATTTCCTTCAATTTCATGTGCATACATCTTGAATTGTACTCGGATATTTACGATATTCTTTTTATTAAGATCTGATCGTCTTTGGGAGAGCTATATAAAATGGGAACTGGAAGGAAAACGTTTAAGCAGAGTAACAGCATTATATGATCGTCTGTTGTGTACTCCAACACTTGGTTATATTTCTCATTTTGATGCATTTCAAGAGTTCGTTTCTTCAAATTTACCCAATCGTATTTTAAACGTTGACGATTTTCTTGCATTGCGTGCTGAAGTGAAAGCACTTTTGAAGTCGGATGACAGTACTTCTACTTCAGCAGCAGATGATGCACCGCCTGGCGAAGAACCACCGCCACACGAACTTCCACCAACTGATGAAGAGACCCGTGCTATTAGAGAAAAAATTATTAGTAGTAGACGTAAAATGCATAAAGCTAATATTAATGCTGTTGCTGCAAGATGGTCATATGAGGAAGGTGTAAGTATTTGTATTATATTCAATACAATATATGTTATATCATTCAATGTCGTATTTATTAATATTAGATCTTTATTCATAGATTAAGAGGCCATATTTTCATGTCAAACCTCTAGAACGATGTCAGTTAAAAAATTGGAAGGAGTATTTAGATTTTGAAATTGAACAAAAAGATCAGAATCGGATAATAATCTTATTTGAAAGATGTTTAATAGCATGTGCTTTATATGATGAATTCTGGATGAGAGTAAGTTTCATTTATTCTTTTTTTCTGCTTGAAAATTACTCTCTGCATTAAGGTCTCTAAATATTTTTAAATTTCTTCATAGTTCGTTCGTTATCTGGAATCCTTAAAAGGTGATAATGTGGAAAAAATTAGAGATGTGTATACTAGAGCTTGTATGGTACATCACCCGAAGAAACCAAATTTGCATCTGCAGTGGGCGACATTTGAAGAGGGTCAGGGCAATTTTGAGAAGGCAGCAAATATATTGGAAAATATTGATAATGTAATACCGAATATGTTACAAGTAGCATATCGAAGAATAAATTTGGAACGTAGAAGAGCAGATTTAGACAAAGCTTGTACATTGTATGAAAATTATATTAGCAATAGTAAAAATAGAACTATCGCGAATAATATTGTAGTAAAATATGCACGATTTTTATGTAAAGTAAAGAACGATGTGGATAAAGCAATCAAAGTATTATTGAAGGTAAATTTTCATAATGGGTTTCATACATTTTTTTTTTTTATGATGGCTACATTTTATACATTGTGTAAATTATATATTTTTAGGCAACAGAAAAAGATAAAGATAATCCAAGGCTTTATTTACAACTGATTGATCTAGGAATGCAAAGAACACCTGTTGATACTCAAGAAATTGTAGGATATATGGATATGTTTATAGAACGAGAACATGCTGATCTTGAACAAAGAGTACTTTTTGCCCAACGTAAAGTAGAATTTCTTGAAGATTTTAGTCCAGATATTCGACAAGTATTGAAAGCCCACGAACAATTCCAAAAGTGTATTAAACAAGCAAAAGAACGGAAAAAGACAAAAAGCGACGATACTAAAACGTAAGTATTATTTTAAAAGTATGTTTAAACGTGCAAATAAAATATATTTAACAAACTTCAATTTTATATTCTACAGAGATACTTCTCCTCCAAAGAAAGTTAAAACTGGAGATCAGTCTAATGTACCACCTCCGCCTTCTGTAAGCTCGCAGTCATCGTATCAGTACAGTAGCGGACCAAGTGGACCTTATCAGTCACAGCAACAATTTCAAAGTGGTCAGTATGGTGGTCAAGGTGGATATCAACAGGGTTATCAACAGTATCCACCTCCTTCCGATCCCAATTATGCTAATTATCAAAATTGGCAATATGGACAAGGAGGACCACAAGCATATGGACCATATAATCAATGGGGATCTTATAATTACTACTAGAAGATAATACAGAATTTGTCTTGTATCGGCTTTCATTGCGTTGTTGTATCTACTGTACATTTTATAATCTTCATTTTTTCATCTAAAGATGAAAGACAAAAAAGGAAATGAAAATGTTTTCAAGTTCTAATGACACATCAGTAACCTGACACGAATAATAATAATAATAATAATAATAACAATAATAATAATAATAATAGTAACGATAATAAATGTCTTACTGATGCTTTTTCCAACAGTTCTTTGCATAAAAAATTCGCTCTTAATATATTTTAAATAATAATACAGAAAATTGTACTACAAAATTTCCGACTGATGTTGAATGTATGATGTTGAATTATTACAAATGTAATATCGTACAGCTAGTTGATAAATATTGCCATACAATACGAACACAAGTTCATTATGTGAAATATTTCCCAACTATACATTTTGCATTGAATTTGTATAATGTAATATTATGTGTTTAATTTTATTCCGTGACGTTGTATTATTTCTTCAATAGTAAAATAGCAGTTCATAAATGTTACCTACTATTTGTAAGAAGTATTTCTTTCGCGTACTTAGTTTATAATATTAGATTTTTTTGCTGGTGTGCGTTGAACGTATCGCTTAAAGAAAATTAGGATATATATGTAAATGGAAAAATAGATATTTGAATATCCTAGAGAAGCATACTATGAGATATTCACGGAATAAACATTGTTAACATTTGTCAGTACATTTTTGATAAACAATGAATCAAAGAACAGAACATTTCTATAACATATTCAGTTGTAGGAGTTTTAGTTGGTATTACGTATTTTTATGTTACAGATGCACATTATTTTATATGTTGTAATTTCGCATTTGTAACTAGAATCCGATTTTTGTCGAAAATCAGCATAAAACTCACATACATTAAAGACATTTTTTCTGTATGTGAAATTTTATAATTTACAATAAATGAAATTGAAAAAGTATATAAATTCTTTTGATAAGAACAATGTATTGCTTGCACTAATTTAGAATTTCAAAAAAATTATTCACAACTGTCAAAATAAGAGAAATACAAATTTTACATTTTGAATTGATATTTCAATTCATTTGCTATTAAATTAATATCTTTAAATATTACGTTTAATAAATTTTCGATATTCGAAAGTTGCTATTATTAAGATTGCTTATGCAAATTATTAAATTATAAGGAGATGTCAGATATTAAGAAAGAAAAATAAATATTTGTAACAAACATGCTTTTTATTATGAAAACATTACGATACTAAACAATTATAATTATAAAAACTTTATATCTTTGGAGTATTTATTATGAGTTTGCAATTTTAATTATGAAACAAAATGTCTACGTTGTTTAATCATTGGAACGTATTACATGAAACTTTAAGATACAAGCGGCTAATATTCGTATTGCATTAGTAAAAAAAAAATATAATTTTATTCTGGAGAAGTTAGATATTATTATTAAAGGCATTAGTTTCTTAGATATATTTGTCATGCAACTATAGCACTTGAAGCCATTGTGTTAACTCCACAGGTACCATCTCCTCTGTAGACTCTGTAATAACCGTGCTCGCCCCATCGTGGACCCCAACTATTCTTTATTATCCAATACGGTAATTCTTTATGAAACAAAGGATATTCTGGAAAAATGATGTTATGTAAAAATGATGTGTGTAAAAATTAATATATTTAAAAAGTATATAAAAATTTTACGTACTGCTAACGCCATATCCTACAATTAAAACTCCGTGATCTAAATTTTTAGGATTGCATAAGAAATTAAATGGATGTGAAACTCCTCCAATATAAAATTGCATAGCATTGGCATTAATGGCAATAGAAATTGGACCATTTTTGATTAGCCACTGTGCCATTTTTTTTTCATCCGATGTAATATTTACAGCACTGACAATTTGTACCTTAGCCTTATCCTCAAGGAAGTGACATTCTTCATTTTTAGCATCATAAGGATAATCGGATTCTAATTCGAGCCCTCCTAATCTTTCTATGCTCTTATAAGCATTTTCCATATATCCTCCATTGCATCCTTCATCTAAAGTATCACAATCTACTAATTCTTGTTCGGATAAAGATAATAATTGATTATGTTTAATTGCATATTGTCCTTCCACATTTCCAGTTACGGAAAATGCCCAGCATGATCCACACTGGCCTTGATCTTTTATAGGTGTAACTACACCGTGATCGCGCCAATCGAAATTGGATGGTAAGGGAACATCTGGTATCTCAGCTTCACGAAGAGGTATTTCATTTTCATGTTTCAATTCCGTACGAAGACCTAGATGACGAGCTTTAAATTCTTTAGGTGTGAGGTCTGAGAACATTGTAATGCCATACACAGCTGTTCCTTGCTCGAATGTTTGTAAGTCTTTAATAATTTTTAAGTTTTGTTTAAATATTTTAAAACGATCTCGTTTCTCATCAGCTGAATCATATGTTTTTTCAAATTTCTTAATAAAAACTTCGAATAATGCCTCATCTTTTATCTCGTCAGCTAATTTTAACATTTTTTGATTATATTGACTGCCTCGTAAAGATCGTTTTTGGCGATTATTTGAATCACAGTTGATAGTAATTTGTGGGGATCCTTTATCTAACCATGGCTGAGACCATATACTGAATAAACATTCTTTAATTTCAGTTCCTTCTTTCAGTTGACAACCATTTTTCGTACCTTTTGGACAATTGCTTGTACCTAATTTAACTTTTATTTTATATAACATTCCAGACACTACTTGTTGCGAGGCATCAACAATTTCTACTATTATAGGTTCATTTGAACCTTCAGAATTTTCTGAAAATTTGCTGAGACCTTTATTTGCAAGCTCTTTTATTGTGGGATCATTGATATTTATGTTACTAGGTGCACCTACAAGATCTTGTCTTTTGTTCCTATACAAATACGGTTTATTATTTGCAGAATCTACCTTCTTTGGATAAATGATTTCTTCTCTGACTTCTTCTCTGTTTATTTCTGGACTCAATTGAGTTTGGGTTGTAGGTAAATCAAAATTTTTCAGAAATTCATCAAATTCTTTTACTTTATTTTCAAATCCTTGAGGTTTAACATCATCATCACTTCTGTTTATGGAAATTTTTAGAATAGGGTGTTCTGTCACTTCTGATTGCTCTGATTCTTCTAATTTTTTCGTTGTGGAATAAGTGTAATTATCAAGAATATCTTTCAAATTTTCTAGAGCTTCCAATTTTTCATAATTTACTTTTTCTTTGTTGGATCCTGATGTTACAAGTGATTCGCTATTCAATGTTGAATAAGAGCTAATATTCTCCTTAATTTCTTCATTAGCATCCATAGTGCAATTATTCTTTACTATTTTACGGCTAGATTGCTGCCAAGGTTGCTCTTCAAATGTTACCAAACATACCTTGACAGGAAGATTTGGTTGTACAGAACATTCTGATTGTTCTATTGCATTTTTCAAGCAGTCAGATTCTCCTATGTATAATAAAATTTGATATTGTATAATATTAGATGAAGGTGGAACAGCACGGGTTACTTTGATAATATCAACTACTTTGTGTTTGAAATCATTCTGTATCAATTCATCCATTGATTTCACTACTTGCTCTCCAAAAACAACGAATCCAGGCAAATTTGGATTCAATTCATATGGACATCCTGGACAATAATTAGGGCTAGAAGCTCTCATTGCTATAAACGGTCTTTCACTATGATCTCCATCCTTCTGAATTTCATGATCTAACTCAACACTTTGATTATTGATAATTTGTCTACCTAAATTTTCAATAATGTGATCTTGATCCTGAGAATTTTCTTGTACTTGCAGTGGGTCATCTTGTACAGATTGAGGATACAAATACATGCATTGTATGGATTCTCTTAAAACGTTTATATCTCCCAATTCGTGTTGTTTTACCTCCACGGTACATGCTTCTCGAGGACAAGGTTCTAATGCTTCCTTGCAAGTAGGAGTTAAATCAAACGTGAGTCTATATATTACATATGGAGATTCTTCCTAAAAGTTGAGAAATGAAACAATATTTTTAATCCAAATTAATGTAAACGTGTAATTCTTAAATTTCCATCATTAATGATAATTAAAATTTCATGTTTAGAGAATTGATAGAAAACATACCAATTTTTGCGCGCTAATCAGGTTACCGCCCTTGTATGTATGATGCGTCGGAGAATCCTGATTCAAAGAATTCAAGGCACTTTGAATTAAAGCCTCCGGGACATTTTGTACTGGTTTGTTCACAAGACCAGAAGATACAAGGGCCGAATTAAAGAAAAATAAAAATAAAATGCGCGTTACACACAGCAGTAAGCCTGCCATCTTATTGCATATACTGCACAATGTTGACCTCCAACTGACGCAGTCGACACTTTAGTCGAGATTTTATATTCCTTTGTATTATTGAATCAGGAATAATATTCAATTTTTAAAACTTTTGTCTGATTTTAATTGTTCTACTTTTCGTGCGAAGGTTTGTGCGATGTAAGCAAAAATAACAAGTTCCAACAACCACGATAATTAACGCGACTTGTCAATATAAATAGAAATGACAGAATAAAAAAAACTGGTAATCATTTAAAAAAAACATGTATTTTTCTCTTCGACTTTGAACTTATTACGCTTTTCGAATCATTTTTATTGCAATAAAGATAAGATAAATCCTACAATTTAATATGTAACTGATTTTCTATTAATTCTTGTGACAACATTATGATGTAATATTAACAATAATTTCGTGCGATTAAAATGCGCAAAAATATTTTATTTCATATAAAAATTTTATTATTTCGTATTTTTAATTGATTTTCTCCCGAATTTATATAAATATTTCAATATATATACGTACAAGCTCATAAATTTCATTTATTATATCAAAATTTTACTTCACGACATTTAATGCAAGATAAATATCATGATGCATTAAAAATATATTACAATATCAATGTAAAAAAAAAACGATAAGATTAATATCTTTGGTTGTTACATTTATTATATTTGATTCGATGTTTTCTTAAGTTCAAATAAAAATTGTGACACACGATTTATCGCGACCAAGATTTTAGTTTAGACAGACATTAGATGAAATATTTTAGAAATGCTCTTGTTAATTTTAATAATGATATAAGAGTATATATTTGATAAATTTTCCACGTTATTTGAAAATTGGTCGTATATTTCTACATTCAAATTTCGCGCCATTTTTAAAACAACCATTTTCAAGTTCCGGTTGTCAAAAAAGCAGCAGCTGTTTCCCTGTATCGATGTGATCATCAGTGATTGCTGCAGTGTTCTTGAAAAGATAGGACTTAACTGAATTACGCGATAGTTTGCTCATAGTGTATGACAAGTCATTGATTATTGCAGGTAAGCGAATACATTATTTACCTTAACTTACTTTAAACGCCAGTTATATAGGTGGAAACTAACAAAATACTACATTGCAGTGAAATTGTATCGATTTTCTACTTTACTCTATCGTTTAACTTACGCTAGAGTACCCAATTTATATTACTACCAGTTTTACTGAAACTTTACGATGAATTTTGATTTGTATTTTTCTAAAGACTTTCCTCTTTTTGCGTGCTTGATGTTCTACTTTGCAGTCTAGTGTATCTAGTCATACACATATGCGTTCAGTGATAGTTAGCATTTAGGGTTAGACTTCGATCTTTATTTCTCTCAATTACTTATTCACTTATTTTTCATTTTTTCTTGAGAACATTGCACTGAGTGAAACGACAAAATCAGATATATAATTATAAGTATATAACTAAATGTCTTTCGAGTAGCTGTTTTTTCTTTTTTTTTAAGAATTTATCATATAATGATGTGAATCTTTTAAATTTAATCTTTTTAATTATCAATTAATCTTCGATGTTAATGGATAATTTTAACGATAAATTTTGACAGATTTCTATTTACTATATAAGATTACTATAAAATTTATTTAAATATTTTGAAATCGGTTTTATTAAAAAAAAAAGAAAATCACGCTTTGTTATAAATAAAATTTTCTTAATATTATTGCGATATTATATGTATTTGAAACTCGGCATAATGAATCAGTGGTTCTCAAACTGTACGAATGCTGTGTTTATATTGCAAAAATCACGTGATCGATGTTGGTTAACATTAGCCAAGACGTGTAATTAGTCATCAGAAAAATTGAATAATGCATTATGCAAAATTTATATTAGGAAAAGATATATATTTTAACGTGAAATACATATTCCCGCGCCTAAGGTTTGCAGCTTTGTAATCCAGTTTTCTTATTGGTGCTATTCTTTGTCGACGACATTTTACCCCCACCACGAAGCAAGCGCTGTTCTGAAACTGCGACTGCTCGTTGCTCAGTAGCTGATTGCGAGTACTAATCTTCCAGTCGGAGAGAACGTAGCTCGTGAATTTTGCTTACGACCCTGCTGGTTTTTTTTTACACTTTTGTCAAAAAAAGTGTTGGTGATTAGTCTGAAATTTTTTTTTTTTATCCCCGAGCATTCTTCTTCGGGCAAATCGACTGTAGAGTTCACTACCGGCGGAAACACCCATCGAAGACAACTTTATTGACAAGTTACGGTTAGTAATAATAGTTAGACCGGCGATACTCTGGATATTTTTTTTTTTTTTGTATCTTTCGTTACATCGATACTGATAGAACTTGGAACATTCGTACTATAATAATTGTTGTCTTGCATCTTTTTCACAAACGTGTATCATTCAGGTGATATTCAAACTCTATAAATATTGATGTTCAACCTAGAAATTTTCATAGCAACACAAGGACTCGCAGTCGTCATTGGAAACAATGACTTTAAATCATTCGTGTTTATCGCACGGATGACAGAATTTTGAATGATTTTGAGTTTCTTGTAAGAACAAAATGAAACGTCAGATACGCGTTATTAAATATTCACTTATTATTAGAAGCAATTTTGTTAATTCTGTTAATTAGTTCTCTATAAAGTTCCATATATAAAATAAGAAGCTGATACTTGAATCGTACGTTGCAAATGATCTCAAACGCTCTTGTTGGCTCTAACGTTTCGAGGAATGCGTCTGATGATATAAAAGCAGGTTTGTTCGAGGAAAAGCTTGACATTCGTTTCATTGTAATTTCTACATTTGTTTCAAGAAGGACAGATAACGTCGCGTTAACGCACTACTGTTTCGAACAGGCTATTTTATTTATTGATTTCTTAATGTCATACGTATGGCGCGGTCTACTTAATGCGTACGTGAAACTTTGTAAATATATTTTTTTCTCCGTCGTTCAGTTCAACCGTGAAAATTGAAATTCACGGAGAAGTAACGAGCATTTCTGTGCTAGCGAGCACCTCTGACACTTTTTCTGCCGGCGTTAACAGCTGAGCGTCATTGATGAAAAACACCCGAGTATGTGTGTATATGATAAGAGGGCGCTGGCGCGCGCTCGCACACAGACACACGTCAGCGTGTGTGTGCAGAAAGGACGAGAGAGCACGTATGACGTCAGAATATTTGTATTTTATTCTTGTTCCTCTCGACTTAAGGCAGACTGCGTAATTGAAATGATGCATGCTTTATAATAAGAATAAAAGTATCGTCACTTTTGTTACCCATCGCGATCGCCACCTCTATTTAGAGCTCTCTTGATCTTCGATTAAAATTTCAGAACGTCAAACGTCCCCCGTATATATTGGATTTTATACGAAATTCGGGGGAGGAAAAAGTTGAAGCACCCATCCACGTAACTCGAACTTTAACATTACAATGACTTGAGTAGGTGTATCGAACGAGGGTATTTTGTATATCTGTGCGAAAATTCAAATTTCGCAGTTAATTCATCCATTGTCTTCTCGCGAGTTTCTCTTCAGAGTATCCTGTCAATTAGGATGTTTTGTAAGTGATTTTCGTTAAACTAAACCTTGACTATCGATGATTTTCGGATTTGGACCTCGAGTCACTCTAAATCGGAAGACACTCATTGCAATTTGTATTATGTATATATATATATATATATATATATATATATATATATATCTGCAGATTGAAGTACCGCGTCACGACATGGCCGCATTATCATCTTGCCGGTATCCGGCACGTTGCGCTGTACAATCATACCCTGCAAAACGCATCTATACCTGTTTACATTCTTCCATGCGATCGTGAGATCCCATTGTGCGAATTTTCCGCGGCTGAAGGCACGAAAAGTCACCTCCTTCGCACGTCCTGGGGGGGGATCGAAGGTTACGACATCAGTTGCAACGAATCGCAACCACGAGACATTGTTTTCACCGTTGCCTCGAGATTTTCCACCACAGTTCTTTCAGTTCGATCATTTTAAATGATTTAAAGTTTTCGTTGTTTACCTATGTCGATAATGAGTCGAGTATTGTTCGAGTTGGTGTACATCTCGTACTTGAAACATCAGTCAGTTTCGTTTTCGTATTCGCGTCATGCATGAAAGAATCTGTTCCGAAACAGGATGTTCAAGGGTGTCGTCGTTGGTATTGGCACGATCTCTCCGAAAGAGAGAAAGAGAGAGAGAGAGAGAGAGAGAGAGAGAGAGAGAGAGAGAGAGAGAGAGAGAGAGCACGTAGCTCGTCGGGACATTTCCTCGGAGGTCGGTATTGATTTTTAAACGCGATTTCCTCCCAATGCTCTTCATTTTCGCTTTATCGAACGCCAATATCTGTTTGTTTGCGATTTGAGAGGGTATACAAGCGGGCGTCCTCCAGGTCTGACTGGTCGCCCGTGATCTTGGCGAGGTGCACCCGTGACCAGGGAGAAGCGACGCCGCTACCTTTCGCCCTGGAAACGAGCCAACTTCGTCTCGAGGGCAAGGACAGCTTCAGTCAATTGATCACGCCGTAATTTCTCCTCGTGATACGGAAATTCACTGTCCACCGGGTGGCCCCTCTGTACTTTTGTCACGCGGCTTGAATTATTACGCGCGTGAATTAATTCCCCCCTCCGGAGGTTGACACGGAAGATGTCCTTTCACATTCTCTTCTCTCTCCCTCTCATTTATTACATTTACAAGTGCCAATTACCAAGCTCTCACGTCATCATTAACAAGCGTGCAACGCGCGCTTCGAACCCTGCCTTTTCCTCCTGAATAGGAATCTCCAGCCTCCTGAATGGTGGTGATCCGGTTTGAAATAGCATAAATCGGAGAACGATTTATTTTCGAACAACGCCGTTTAGCATCAGTTGTTCGAGTACCTCTCGGGAAACCCAATATTCTAATTACGGCAACGCTCGCCTCGTCGAGATAGGAAGATTCATCAAAGAAACGTAACGGATATCGACGTATTATGCAAATGCTTCGATACGAAAATTTAACGCACACGACGAGAGAGCCTGTCTATTTGTCTGTTATATTTACAATCTCCTCTCCTGGGAGACTGTCGAAACAGCGTACGACTTATTTATCATCCGAAGCTTAACAAAGCGTGGATGCATCGGTGAACAAGCTTTCGACGTTCCTTCGGTGCAATCTACATACTACGCATATGTATATCGTTGATCCCAGCTGATCGGTTCTCGTGGTGGTGGTGGTGGTGGTGGTGGTGGTGCTGCTGCTTTGGATTGAAGAAGTGGTGGGTGGTCGGTGCAGGTACATACATAGATAGTAGGTGTGCGCGGAGGAGAGCTCGCTGAAGGGGTTGGCTGCTGGAGGGGCGAGGGTCGGAGAAGCAGGAAGCACACGGAGCACGGACGAGGAGAAGGCGCGGTCGTGTGCGTCTGCGCGCGATTCGGTCGGTGGGTCGGTTGGTCGGTCGGTCGGTCGGTCGTCGGTGGTATTGATTTTCATAGGAGCACCGGCACACACGTAATTCCACCACGTAAACGCGTATACATGCATCCACGACGACTGGCTGGCTGGCTGCTTTTGCCAAATATCTGCGTAAAATTTCGCAATCGCAGATCCTCCGCACGCTAAATCGACTCATTCCGGTGTTACGCCTCCGGGTGGAAAGAATCGCATATCCTCCGCTGGTCTTCTCCTTCTTCTTCTTGCTCGCTCTATCGTACACGTCTGACATATCGAACTGACTGGGTTTCTCCACCTCGTTTTGCGAAAGTACGTCGTACGTGACTCTCTCGTTTATTCTGTTCTCCTGCCGCCCTCCCTGAAAAACGTTTCACCCGTACGTACGTATCTGCTGGGTATTTGTGTTTCTCGGTCCAGCACGTACGCGCCACGTGAACCTAAAAGCAATTGTTAATCGTCCCAGTAGAAATTGACTTTAATCACCGTTATTGATATTCCGCAGTCGCCTGGATTTCATCAAGTCAGTAGGTAACTCCAAGGCCATATTCCCCGTGCAACCGAATTACGAATTGGGGGGGGTGAGGAACACTTATGAAAATTCGGTCGTTTAATCTGTCTGTTTATCCCTTGACGTTGCAGAACCTCGTTCGAGCTACTCCAAACAAGGAGCTGCGCGGGCTTGCACAGGAAGCGAAGAGGAAACGCGATCGTAGAAGAAAGCTAATCGCCAGGCACCCGACAAGATGCCTGCACCGACATCAGCACCGGGCACGGTGGAGGGACCACCTCGCACCGAATTGCAGGAATTACAGTTGAAGGCAGATCAAACTACAGATGAGGTACGTGCATCTGCTCGATACTTTTCCAAAACGTCTGTCATAATCGTTAAATTTTTTTTTTTTTTATTTATTCATTTCCTAGGAGGAACTTCTCCATACACATTGGCTATATTGCCTCGAATATTTATTAACTCATTAATTTGTTTGCTCGTGTTGGAACTAATTTCTGTAACTTCCTACGTTTTGTAATTTTTTGTTTTTTGTTTTTATTGATTCATTTCCTAGGAGGTCCGTCGTTAGCTCGAATATTTATCAATTCGTTAATTTGTTTGCTCATGTTGGAACTAAATTTCTGTAACTTCCTACGTTTTATAATTTTTTGTTTTTTGTTTTTATTGATTCATTTCCTAGGAGGTCCGTCGTTAGCTCGAATATTTATTAATTCGTTAATTTTTTACTAATTTCTGTAATTCTGTTTTCGTTTTTGTAATTCGTGCGTGGACGTTACAACGCGTTGCTCAACCCACGTGACCCGTTTTGTTTCAGTCCCTGGAAAGTACGAGGCGTATGCTGGCACTATGCGAGGAGGTGAGTTCGTCTCATCCTTATGAAACTATTCTCTTCTATTTATACGCATTAACCTTCATCCTCGATCATCCTCGGTACTAATCCTCGATCCTCGTTACTTATAGCGATTTACTCCTGGAGTTTTTACTCCCAGATTGTTTCTATTGTCATAGAGTTATAGAGGTCTAATTTGTCGCTGGTAAGAATCGTTGCGCGTTGTGTCGCGGCAAAGATGATGGGCGATCAATCACGATCAATCCAATCCCGGGTAAACTTGACGGTGTGCAGTTGAAGGAACAAAGTCAGAAAGGAATAACAGAAAAAATTAAAAAANAAAAAAAAAAAAAAAAAAAAAAGAAAAAAGAAACGAAAAACGCGCTGGAGAGACGTGGGCAAAATACTATTTCGGCTAGAGTCCGAATGAAAACTCTGAGATTATTATACACGTATGTATACAAGAGTACGTGAGGCGACGTTTCGTGAAAAATTACAGAACGTAGCAGAGATCTCTCGATGTGTGTAACGGTGAAAAATGGGTAAATTCTACGCAGCGTTCAAAGAACCTTGAAATAGTATTTTTGACCCAGCTCTGGCGCCAAAGCAGCATTCCTCTATCAATTTTTCGACGGCAATGTAGTCGGTGGAAGTAAGTGTCAGCCATGTCCGGGATGTTGTGGCTTTGTGACGCGGATCTTTTTCGCGACGAAGATATAAAGAGACATTTTCCTCTTTAAAGGAAAAAAAAAAAAAAAAAAAGAAGGGGGAGAAAAAAAGAGTTGTCGCACGGGCGCAAGCAAGCCAATTTGCATGCCCGTGCCCCATTTCTTTGGGGATCGTCGCGAATGTACTCGGAAGAATTGTAAGACGACGCATCGACGCGGTCCGAGACGGTAATCCGCAGCACGAACGCACGCGACGAGACGGATGTCGCGTCACTGCAGAAGACTCGCTCACGTGTTAACCTTGGTTTCGAGCGTCTCATCGCGCGTTTTTAAATGTTTCAACGTTTAAACTTCGTTTAAGCTGTAAAGAGAGAGAGTGTCACCAGCGAAAAGATGATCGATCATCGTTACGCCGATGAAAATCCATCGAAGCTAAAAAAAAGACGAGACCATCGCGTGCATTCGTGCGCGAATTTCTTTTCTTCGTGTATTCTGTCTACGTTCTTTAGCTCCGCATTTTTTCTTCCCATGCATAATTATTCGTTGTCTATGCTCGTATCTTGGATATATATCTATTCTCGAATATATGTATGTACGTCTCTATATAAGTGTGTGCGGAAACTATTACTGTGTACATCCGATGTCTTCATTCTCTTCCTGTTTAACCTGTTACTTATTGTCGAAGGAGCGAACGTAATCGACGCTTAATATAACCCGGACGTCAGTCCATTCTCTGTTCGGCGTGACCATCTTTTTTTTTTTCTCTTTTTTTTCCTTCTATTTAAAGAAGTACCTTTTTCTCGAAATATAGCCTGTGTGTATATATATATATATATATATATATATATATATATATATATATATCTTTTTGAATCGTACGTAATTGTAAAAATATTCTCTTTTAATCCGCTGAGTCGGAACGCTAAGTTCTCCCTGTAAAATTCGATTAATAAAGAGTTGACGATGCGACGGGTGTGAAAGGTTGTTGCGTCGCTCCATTCCAGTTTCTTTCGCTACTTATTCTGTGGCTGCACTAATTAGCACGTGTCGCATTTCGAGCACTGGAGACGTCAACAACTATTTAGTGTACGTACATACTTCAACACGCGGGATGCCATTGCAAATAAAAAAAATAAAAAAAAAAATGCTATCCGTACCTACATCCATATATAGGTACCTATATTTATATATAAAACATATATATGAAGTGGCTGTCAATGTCAGTCAAAGTCGTTCGAGATATTCGGGCTTCGAGCTCTCGAGAGGCTTCGAATGTACGAACCTGAACGGCGGTGGCAGTTGCCGCCATATTTTTTTTTTTTTTTTTTTTTGCTACAAACGCAAAAATTAGGACGAACGGAGAAAAGTTAAACGACAAAAAAGAAAAAAAAAAAAAGACGAAAGAAAAAAAATACCTCTTAATGTTACTACCAGTGGTGGAGGATATCTTTTTTCAGCAACTGGTGAATTCCAGCGCACGCACTGGGTCTTTTTGGAAAGGACACAAAGAGGAAAACAGAGAACGCTTTGTGAGAACGAAACGAAATTTAGAAGGAACGAAGGAACATGGATGATTGCGCGTGGTATCGTTTCAACAATTTCTCTCGTGTCGTGTACATCGCGTATTATACGCAAACATGGCGTTTCGTATATATATATATATATATATATATATACGTTGCGTAGAACGTTTCCGAGATGATTACGGTCGTTAGCGATTAAGACAGAGGGTAATGTAGGGCTTCTCTGCGTGTCTCCCACTCTCTACGTATCTTTTTTTTTTCTGTCTTTTTCTATTCTTCCCAGAACCTCTTCCCTCCCCCTTTTCTTTTTTTCTTTCTATTTTCTTTCGAATTCTTCTCGATCTCTCGGCCATTCTCGACGAGAGAGGACGAAGGAATTTTCTTCGCACCGAGACTTCTAGCCATTCCATTTAGACTTTTAGTCGTTGGAAACGGTCGAGAAGAATGTGTTCGTTTAACGTTCGAAACACGAAGAAGATATCGGAAGAACATAACGATCCTCTTGTATGTACGTGCACAATCCTCTTTCAGTTGCTTCCGTCTCCCTTTTACTCCTCTCTTGTTTCTCTTTGCCTCTCTGTTTCCATGCAACCCGCGTGCAGAAAACCGTGCAACCGTTTTTCTTCCCCTGCCCCTATTGCGAATCACATTCGAGAGAACATCGATTCGACGATCGTCAATGCTCGAGGCGTTCTTTCATATCATTTCTGCTACGAACGAACAAACTTCCGAGTTATTTAACTTTAAAACAAATTTTTATCGGAAGAACCTTTGTGGAAGAATTAATTCAAGCCGTGCCTACCGTATACCTATTATTAAAGGGGAAAAAAAAAAAAACACAAGAATCGATCGTGGAATCGAGAACAAAAGGGCTCGCCCCTCGACTGGAGCGTGAAAGAGCCTCTAGGGAAAACGCCATGATTCTCTCCTCCCTTCATAGTTTGTCAAGCGATTGTCTGTTAGAGGCCGGCCGAGACAGGTAAACGACAGTGAAACAACAGCTCTGATCTCGACGAAAGAAGGAAGGATCGTTCTCTCGATTTTTTCTCTATTTTTTTTCTCTTTTTCTCTCTCTCTCTCTCTCTCTTTCTCTCTGTCTGCGAGTCGAGAAACGAGCGCGCATAACCTACCGGCAATCTGTGTGTAATCGCTGCTACCAATGTAATCCGTGTTTGCTGGCTGAACCGGGCAAATTTATCGATATTGTCCGTGTTGCTGGCTGTGTATGTATGTGTATTCTCACGTGTGCGGTGTGTGGCCACGTGTGTTGCTCGCTTGCTTAAAATTCGACAAGAAACTACAACACTCGCTTGCTCGATCGCCCGCCTGCCTGCCCATCGCGATACGAAATTTACACCGGAGACAGTCAGCATTTTCGTGCAAGACACGCTATTACCTCGATGACCTACTATTAATGTCGATCGTTCCATCAATATTGGATCGTTCGATCGATCTCAAGCAAATTAACTCAACCTCGGCTTGATCGACTGCTTCTCTCCTCCTCCTCCTCCTCCTCCTCCTCCTCGTCGCCGGTGTATCTTCGTATTCTGGGAGAAATTCTCGCTGCCTTACTCGCTCGCAGAGTTCCCGAAGCAAAGTTTAATCGGGGACACGCGATCGGTAGCATCGATCGCGTGCGCAAAGGTTGTCACGACCGAGTGACTCGTTGGAAATTACCACTCACGGTGAAAGAAAACTATCGATTTCGGACGGGATTCTCGCAAAATTGGCGAACGTCTTCGCGAACTTTGCCGCGTATCTTTGCCTTGGCTGTCTGGCTGCCTGTGTGTGTTTGTGCCTGTCCTCCGCAACAACACTCTTCATTCTCTCTCTCTCTCTCTCTCTCTCTCTCGACTATCGATGCATCGTGCTGTCACTTTTCTGGCTCGATATCATTCTATCGATACTCCGTTGATCTCTCTCTCTCTCTCTCTCTCTCTCTCTCTCTCTCTCTCAACCACATTTACTCACTTGCGCACAACCACATTCTACTCACCACTCACAGAAACACGGCTCGCATGCGAGGGATTCGCAGGCGAACAGACAGACGACTCGTCGACGATCGAGACCGCGGTTCTGTCTACTCGATCGATATACTCGCGTGGAAGCTTCTTTGCTGTTTGCTCAGTGTCATCAGATTCGCCGCGCGAATCTCCTCCCATGCCATACCCTTGTTCTCCTCGTTTCTTTCGTTCTTTCGTTTGGTTTGCTTTCAGCCGCGAACTCTAGCCGATCGTTCTCGTCTTGTCTGCCGTTCGTTTCGTGTCACCGTGTAGAAAAGATGCCATTCACATGTCCATGCATCATCCACCGCCACCACCACCACCACCACCACCACTACCACTACCACTACGACCACCACCACCACCACCACCACCATTATACGACCGATCAAATTCCTCCACTTCTCGTTAACTCTTTCTTTATATGCACCTGATGTTCGATCAAGAGAGTATTTACCCGAGAAAAAAAAATAAAAGAAAAAAAGCGTAACGATGCGACGGTGAATAATACTCACAGTGAATGCTCATTCAAGCGACGAAAAGTTGTTTGCAAGGAATGCGAATAAATTGACTATCCGGTAAATACTCGAAAAGGAAGGAAAAAAAAAAAAAAAGAAGAAGAAGAATCGAAACTTGGAAATTCAAACGGCTCGCTCTATCTCGTTTTGATTTCCTTTCTCTTTTTTCTGAGACTTTTTTTGTTTCATGCACATTTCCTACGTGGATGAATGCGCACGCTTTCTCTTTCAAGCTGAACGAGGAAAGGAGCAAAGAACTTGTTTTGTTTCCGTTCTCGTGACCGACTATAAATAAAGGAGAATGAAAAAAGGAAAAGGTTCGAAAGGAAAAAAGCCCAAAGCCCTTAATTAGTTCCGCGGGCTACGCGTCAAGCATTGATGGATGATAATTTTGTAGCACGAGTTTCCCTTGCAGTCTCACGGGTCTGACACATTTTTTTTTTTTTTTTTTGGTTTTCGTTCCTTTCGAGGGTCTAGTCTCTTCTCCGTGATTCATTTGAATTAGGGCTCGTTCGTTTGGCTGAAACGAGAGACCACGAAGGGACGAATATATGCGTTTGGGATTATGTTAGATCTACCGAGCTCAGAGTTTCGAATTGCAAGAGGGGGGGGGGGGGGAAGAAAAAAGATAAGCGTCGTTTGCTAAAAGAAAAGGGGGAAAAAAGAAAAAAAGAAAGTCGACTACGTTTTCCTCCCTCGTTGGGTTTACCCCAGTTGAAAAGCTCGGCTCCTTTTCTTTGCTCTCTCTCTCTCTCTCTCTGTCTCTCTCTTTCTTTTCTCTCTCATTTGGTCATTCACCGCTCTCTTCATGCTCTCCTTTCCATTCCTTTTTCTCTCTCTCTCTCTCTCTCTTTCTGTCTCTCTGTGTGCGTGTGTTCTACTTTGTATTTATTTAAGTATCTTTCGTCCCGTTTGAGTCCCGAGATCTCTCTCGTGTTGATACGAGAGGATTCCTCGATACCAAGGGAATCGACAAATTTCATATCTCTCTCCATTCTCTTCGTTTATCTTTGAAAAAGTAATTGACATCCCTCGCGACTCAAAGCGCGACCGAGATATCTTTCGTTTTTTCGTATTGCGCATTTTCGATTTACTTTGTCTTTCCATTAAAAAAAAAAAAAAAAGAAAGAAAAGAAATACTATGTATTGTGTATCGTTCTCTCTCTGTATTTTGCGGTACTTTACATACACTATATATATATATTTTTTTTTTTTCATTGGTGAATATTCAAACTCCTAGAGACTCTTCAAATAGTATCTTCTCTATTTCTATCTTTTTTTCTCTTTTTTTCTATCTGTCTGTCTATATATATCTCTCTCTCTTTCTCTTTCTTTTTCTCTTTCTCGAGCTCTCTTTTCCGCGAGGAGATTCTCTCTTCTTCCTTTCGTTCAGTGAACAGAGGAAGAACGGAGAAACGACCGGCGACCGGGAAGAGAACGAGAGATTTCCTCCTCAAAAATGAAAAAAAAAAAAAAAAAAAAAAGAGCGGTTCTTTTTAACTCGTCACGCGCTACTGAAAACAGAACAAAATGAGTATTATACGTACGCAAAGACATTAGAAAAAAAAAAAATAAAAACGAAAGTAACGATAATATAACAATACAGAGAAACGAATCAAAATCAGTGCGAGCCTTCACGAGCTTGTAAACTCGATACCTCGATTAGCCAGAAGGAAGACCTGACAAATAATAATAACAATAATATATAAAAGCAATATAAAGTAAATATAAATAAACCTACAACAACGGCGACGACAGTTACAGAGCAACAGGAACAACAACAACTACAACAACAACAACATCGTCATGATCGATAACAACATCAAGAACAACAACAGCAACAACAAGCGACAAGCCTAATCTAGAGATCGAGAAATATATATATACTATATAACTCGTTTTCGAGCCGAGAAACGATAAAATAGCAATACCGATAACGTGTCTCTTTATCTAGTGTCAGTTCGTAAACGTTTCGTAGTACGTGTCCACCTGTCTATGCATAATATATATATATATATATATATATTATTGCAGTCAGTTGTATCGTGAGCGCGTTAAAGGTTTGAACAAATCCACAGATACTAAAAGAGGCGTCGGATCTAGATCCATCGAGAACAAAAACTGATAAACCTTAAAAAAGAAAACGAACGAACGAGAAACTATTAATACAAATAATAATCGACATTTCTGTCGTTTTCGCGAGTACTTAGCCCGACCCGGTCATAGATCTAGTAATAGATCTAGCACCGTTTTGTCAAAAGATATATATATATATATATATATATACCTTAACATGCTTTGCCCACTTCTCTCCATCGACTTCCGTTTACACCCTCCGTTTTTTCTACCTACCGTAATACTATATACTACTACTAATATACTACTAATATTACTATACTATATACTTACTACTAAAAAAAAAAAAAAAAAAAAAAAAAAAAAAAAAAGAAAAAAAAAAGAAAACAACTCTCTAACACTGGTGGTGGTTGTCTGTGTTGTGCTGCCTCTGTCTGTCGTAGAGCAAGGAGGCTGGCATCCGTACTCTGGTCGCACTCGATGACCAGGGAGGTGAGTGAATCGCTTTTTAGCCATATAAGTAAAACAACAAGAAGGAACCCCGGCTTTTTCTCACAGATTACATACATAATTGAACTGTGTCTCGTGCCACACCCTGCGACCTCAACACAAAATGGAACTTTCCTCTCTCCTTGTTCTTCCCCTCCGCGTTCCTCGATCTCCGTTTCTTGTGGCGAAAATCTCTCTCTCTTTCTTTTTCTCTCTCTCTTTCTCTCTCTCTCTCTCTCTCTCTCTCTCTCTTACACATTGCTCGCACGGAAGATCACGGGGGGAATACAGAATACCGCGCGTTTGACCCTTTTGGGCGTTTGACACGTTTCACCTAACTTGTCCTCCGTTATCCGATCGGTCGCGAATCCTATCTACCTCTCCCCTTTTCTCTTTTCTCTATATTTCTCGTCCCTGTTCCATCTCCCCCTTTTTTTTTTTTATCGTCCAACGTGTTCGACAACTCCGCTTTCCCCCGACACAACTCTTCTGCAACTCTCCGTACTCTGAAAATCGATAGACACTTCGCCACCGGTCGCTTATCTCGAGAACACTCTCGCGACCTCCTGACCTTTTTTTCTTTCCCGCAGAGAGAGATTCGTTCTACACATCTCTACGCGTCTCTGTTTTTTTTTTTTTTTTTTGTTTCCCTTTCTGTTTTACGTTCATCCTCCCCCGACTTTTATTTCTTGATTTTGCGTTCCCGCGTTCGCCGATCGATACGCATCGAAGGGATATATGTATGTATATCCTCCGTTAACCCAGGCACGAACGACACCGCTGGTCTAAGCGTCACGACTTGTGTGTGTACGTGTCGCCACAGGCCTCGTCGGCTAGTCACGGCCGAAGAGAGACCGAAAGCAAATTAACCAAGCCCATCGATCGACCTGCCCGCGATACACAAACCGTCCATCTTTCCTTTTCAGTTTTTTGCCCTTTCTATTTTTTCACCGATCTGTTTATTCGTTACACACGGGTCGTAGGAAGGCATTCTTTTAATAGAGGCGATTCTGTGTACCATGAAGCGCGAAGAAACACCCTCAATCGTGTTTCCGATCGATCGTGCACCTCCGCCTCGCACGCTTCCACCCTGTGTACGTACGTCAAGCCAGATATATATACGTACACGTATCTCCGTCGGGGGTTTGTCTTTTGAGATTCGTTCGCGAGTTGACCCTGTTCTTGGCTAATCGACTCGACACCAAAGTTTCCCGCATTCGACGCAGCAGACGTTCTCTTTCTTTCTTTCTTTCTTTCTTTCTTTCTTTTTCTTTTTCTTTTTTTTTTCTCTTCTCTTTTGTTTCTCTTTCTCTCCACCTATTACTACGTCGTGTATATGTATATATAGATATATATATATGTATATATATATATATATATATATGTTATATATATTATATGTATATGTATATACACGTATGTATACACTGCCATAAAAGAAAAGAAAACTTTTAAAATTATACACGCAACTCCCTGCTCCGGTGAAGTTTTTTTCCGTAAAGGAGAAAGTAGCGGTAGATTTGCTTTTTTAATTCGGGCTAGAACATATATATATATATATTTGTAGCGGAAGTGTCGAACGATAATTTCGCGGTTGACGATGAAAAGCGACAGCCAACTACCACTGTACAGTCGTACTATACAAAATACTACTATTACTACTATTACTATTACTACTACTTGGTACTATTACTATATATGTATGTATATTACTACCGTTACTATACGATTACTAGTATCACACCACTAAACACTACTAATACGAACACGTTGACTTTTCTTTGCAACTGCTCGAGTGCAAAAGTATTGGGAAACACGACTGTCATTAATGTATATATATTTTTTTAAAGAGATTATAAAGCTCGGTAATAACGTGTACTCGATACGATCGATTTCCCTGCACTTTTGCACGGGCAACTGGAAAACCGACACTGCCCACTAATTACAATTATACTTACTAATGCGACAATGACACTCGACTTGTTTCACTAACACGTTCAATTGCTGGTGCTGCTATTGCTGCTACTGCTGCTGTCAGTAACACAGAATATTCGATATCGGAGAACGCTGTTTATCGAATCGAAAGTCTGTACAGAGCATCATGCGCGGGAGGATCCAAGTTTGACTCGTTTTTATATAACGACCTGTTTTGTTTCTTCGTCCCCCTTTGTGTGTCTACGACTCTTTTCCACCTTCGACTTTGCCCTTCTTCTCGGCCTCTGTACTTACTTTTCAACGACCCCTTCTTCGCGCTTCTTTTACTCTCTTTCTCTATATCTCTCCCTATTTCTCGACAGTCTCTTCTCTCTCTCTCTCTCTCTTTCTATACACACAGCAGTAAAGTACTCGAAGCGTAGACGTGTATCTCGTGTGTATATGTATGCATCTCAATTAGACGCATACGTATGTATATTCTCGCCTTCTCCCTCTCTCTTTTTTTACCTCTCACAAAACACACATTCTTTTTTGGATTGTGTATATATATCCTTTTTTTCTTTTCTTTTTTTACTTCGTAGCCAAACACAAAGCTTCTAGCTGTGTCGCTTTGTCAGTCAACGTGTAATACGTACATATTGTTTATATATATACGAACATACGTATCGAATCTATATAGATAACAGTGTACACATATATCACATATGTGTATGTATATAAACCTATGTACCTCATTTTCTTTAGTGTACAAAACCCTATGAAACAAGTACTTGATGAAACTCATAAACGTTTTTAGCGGTAGATGTTTGTTCTCTCTTTCTCTCTCTATCAATCTATCTATCTATCTCCCTCCCCCTTCCCCAATCTTTCTATCTCTGTCTCTATTTCTATCGTTTTTCTGTCTCTCTCTCTCTCTTCTCATCCGAATTTTTGTTTCCCTTCTGTATATATGTATATACGGAAAACGAGTGTATATACATATGTATATCGACACGTACACATGTTCGTATGTATGTACATATATGTATACACGTCCTTTTCTTTTCCTTTTTTTTTTTTCTTTTCCTTCTCACTCTTGATTTCTCAACCCTTCTTCTGCATCAAACGTACTTTTTTGTCGACCGTCGTCTTACCAAGTAGGTGTTAATACTGCCCTCCGCTTTTTATCTGCGAGTTTACCGATGCCGTCGTATACATACTACTACTACTACTATTACTACTACTATTACTACTATTATTATTATTATTATTACCATAATCATATCACCATTATTATTATTATTATTATTATTATTAATATTATTATTATTACAATTATTATTACTTTGTTATTATTATTATTATATATCGTGCATATAATACTAGCGATTTATAGTCATTGATTCAAGCCGGAAGAAAGTAGCGCGCGATTCTTTGGTGATGCTTTTTTTTTTTTTTGTCGCCGATCCAAGACAGAGAAGCAAC